GAGTCAAATAAAGACACAGAGAAGGCCGTCGAGTTTAAAAATACTCTTAGGTGATTGTGATACACTTCCTCTCCTCTACTAATTGGCAATCACTCTGTTATTCGGGAAATCTAATGTTATTGCTTTTACCATTTCAATATATAAACCAGAAAGTAAATTTTGGGGACCTTGAAGAGATAACTATTATAATCCCAAGGGTTAAACACTGAAGTTTTCTGGGCAAAGTATTATCTTAATGTTGAGAAGAAAAATTATAAACACAGAGGGTAACCTGATGCGCTTGGAATGAGCTCAAGAGTATAACTGGATAGCAAGTAATACCAAGCAGTGATACCAAGTTATGCTGGTCAGACTCTATAATATGACCATGGGGAAAGACAAGATACTCTGACCCTCTTGTGAGGGTAGCCCTTCTCCTAGACTTTGCTGGAGAATTCTGACCCTTTTTTCACACAGATCATTTCTTTTCTACTAAATTTGTTTCCTTCTTACACTGACCACGGACCATTTTCTTTCCATTAAAATTTTGATTTTTTTTTTTTTAGATATGTCAACACCATTAGTTAGGGTACAATTAAGTCTGCTTTGAAGAAAGTATTCTGGGGTATCTTGGTGGATCAGTCCATTAAACTTCAGCTCAGGTCATAATCCCGGGGTCCTGGGATTGAGCCCTGCATCAGGCTCCCTGCTCAGCGGGGAGTCTACTTCTCCTCTTCCTCTGCAGCTCCCCCGCTTGTGCTTTCTCGCTCTCTCTCTCCCTCTCAAATTAATTAATTAAATAAATATTAAACAGAAAGAAAGCATTCTATCTCTAAGGGGGTTTCTCCATATATTTACTTCATCCTTTACATGGTTGGAACTCTTAGAATTTAACTTCATACTTCTAAGGGTACTTCGCTGTCTACTATAAGGATCATTTGTAAAAATACAACTTGATTTATAAGGTTTTAATCACAGAAATTCTCTGGGCCTGTTTCTTCATCTGGAGATAGTAGTACAGTATTTTCCAGCAACCTACTGACAAGAATACTTTCAAAGACTAATCAGATGAAAACCTTATTGAGAATGCCAGATAGCATATATTAAAAAGCCAAGGCAACTACTGTGTAGTTTGCCTCAGTAGCCTTCTAGATTTGTTTCCCTTTTCCCCCCAGTGAAGGAAACTTTTTTTTTTTTGGTGAAGGAAAATTTTTAGAAGAAGGGACACTGAGGGGCCCCTGGGTGGCTCAGTTGGTTGGGCATCTGCCTTTGGCTCATGTCATGATCCCAGGGTCCTAGGACGGAGCCCTGCATGGGGCTCCCTGTTCAGCGGTAAGCTTGCTTCTCCCTCTCCCTCTCCCTCTGTGCCCCCACCCTGCTGTCTCTTTCAAATAAACAAACAAATAAATCTTTTAAAAAACAAGACTGAAAATTAGGATTAAAAATTAGCATTCAAGATAAAATTAACTACAAAAATCACTCAGAAATTAATGACAGAAGGAAATTTAAATCACATACCCATAAAACTGTCTGAAGCTTCCTGCCATGCTTGTCCATTAATGCTGACATTCTCTTGCACAGCTGATTCAAAAGTCTGAAATAAATTCACAATACTTAAGTTAAAATTTTAACTTTAAATTTAAAGTTAAAATAATTTTAAATATTGAACTAAAACATTTTGGCAAAGTAAGAGCTTCAGATTTGTAATACAGAATATCAAGAAAAACAGACGAGCTTATTACTGTATTCTTTTCAATGAAGATTCCGTTTCAATCACTGATTCTTCCTACATTTTAGCTCTGATAACCATTATGCTACATCTGATAAAATTTGTTGCAAAATGTATATACTTCTTTAATGAAGAAAAAATACAAGCTAGCAAAGTTGAGCTCAGCTGAATCGCAAGGGTACAAGTACTACATATGCTGCTGAACAAGCAACAGTGTTAACAAGGGAAAAATGCTTAAAACAAAATAAAATTAATTTCTACTTCATAAAGGACTGTCCTTTTTAGAGATGTACACTGAGGTACATAGAAATTAAATGACACGAGATCTGGAATTTGCTTTAAAATAGAAGTGCAGGGACGCCTGGGTGGCCTAGTGGGTTAAGCCTCTGCCTTCGGCTCAGGTCATGATCTCAGGGTCCTGGGATCGAGCCCCGCATCGGGCTCTCTGCTCAGCGGGGAGCCTGCTTCCTCCTCTCTCTCTGCCTGCCTCTCTACCTACTTGTGATCTCTGTCAAATAAATAAATAAATAAAATCTTAAAAAAAAAAAATAGGAGTGTGAAGGGACACCCTGCTAGCTTAGCAGTAGAGCACATGACCCTTTTAATCTCAGGGCTATGAGCTCAAGCTCCACCTTAGGCATGGAACCTACCTAAAAAATAAATAAATAAAATAGGAAGTGTAACAAATTTCTGATAATTGTTAAATTTGGTGATGGATATACAGATGTCCACTGCACTAGTCTGTTTTTTGAAAGGTTAAAAATTTTCATAATATATTAAAAAATAAGGGACTAAGGGAATTTGGTTAAAATTTTAAACGCACATTCCCTATTACCTTACAATTTCACTCTTAGCAATGTATCCTAAAGAACTATTCTCATAAAAACATAAAAAGGATGTACTATGAATGTTTATTAAAGCTCTATAGGGACGCCTGGGTGGCTCAGTGGGTTAAGCCGCTGCCTTCGGCTCAGGTCATGATCTCAGGATCCTGGGATCGAGCCCCACGTCGGGCTCTCTGCTCAGTGGGGAGCCTGCTTCTCTCTCTCTCTCTCTCTCTGCCTGCCTCTGTCTACTGTGATCTCTCTCTGTCAAATAAATAAAATAAAATCTTAAAAAAAAAAACCTCTATATGAAATTATGAATTATTGAGGGGAAAATAAAATCTAACTTCAAATTCGGAAAATAGTTAAATACACTATATCCATACCATACAATATCTAAAAAGAATAAAGTATATCTCTATGTAACTTTGACAAAGAATAGTCAAAGAAAGATTTGGAAGAGAAAAAAAAAAGCTAAACTGCTAAATACATCAGCCTAACACCATTACTGTAAAAAAACAAACAAAAAACAAAACAACAAAGAGAGATGTAACGCCATAAAAAAGGTAGAAGGATTATAGCCCCCTGGACCCTCCCAATAATTATTTCCAGGAAGGAGGAGGGGTGAGGGAGAGGAATTCAAACTTTTGCTATATGCGGTTTTGCTGTTTTTTTTTTTTTTACAAGAATGTATTTTACACACTTTGTATAAGTAAAAATAAGCATAATTCAAATAATGACTGATAATGAGTTAAAGTATACACTCTACACTTTATAAAGATTTTATAAAATACTTACTTCACATATGGACATTCAAGGATTATCTCAGAATGCAAACTGTAATATTCATTGCACAATTGTATCAATACAATTTTTTTAGAATATCCATTACAATGTCACGTGGTTTTAAATAAAGAGCTATGTCAACATAATTAAAGCCTCTGCCTTTTATCTGCTCTTGATAGAAACACAAGTGAATTCCTTGGTAGTTTGTTCAAATCTTTTTTCTTCCAACTCACTTTATCATCCACTAAGGTATAATAGGTTATAAGCCAAGATTAGCCAAGCTCCTCTTTTTCTGAAAGTAAATAGGTTAGCGCTTCTTAGAAAGGGGCAAATTCTAAGACCTTTTTGCACCAAAACAGTCTTTTTCCAAAACAACTAAAAATGTCCTGAGGTATGTGTCTATTCTTGCCTTCCTCGCAAGAAGGTAGTGACAGTGTCACTGTACACAAAACGGGAACAGACTCACTACCCAGGGGCTGCTTTTATTCTTCTTCCATTTGGCGTTTATTTTTACTGTTTCACACTGCGGTCACGCTAAATCACAACCGTGCTGCACTATGAGCTTTTAAATTTATTTTCTACGGACAGAGTGTCCGCTTCCTTAAGGCAGGTGCCAATCCCTCAATCTATTGCGTCTTTCCTCAGAAAAACTAGCTCCTTGAGGGCTTTGCAAAATACGTGAGAAAGGAAGGGGAAATGTTAGGAGGTCCAGAGAAGTTCCTAATCAAGACCGTTTCCTTGTCTACTTTAGACTTGGAGGGAAATGTTTCCACTGACTTTACGTGAAGTTCTAAAACAGGCCAAAGGAAAGACCAGTGGCTCGTCTGGTGACTGCCTGAGTTCCAGGATTTCCTGGAGAATCCCTCCTTCAGCTTCTGTCACGCACGGTCCGCCAGGGGAGCCGCTGGCCACTCCGTGGTTACTGAGGCCTTGAAACGCGGCGAGCCGCAAAGACGAGCTCTGACGTTAAGCCACCCGATGTGAAAAGCTTCTTAGTACGAACAAAAGAAAAGACCTCGTTCGCTATTTTTCTTATTACAAGTTAAAACGCTATCTTGGATAGAGCGGGCTAAATAAAACATAACATTAAAATCACTTCCACCTATTCTTTCTTCCTTCAATTTCGAGTCACACACAGGGCTCGCCTGGTCTCGTTCTACGGCCCGCGCTGCTCTAAGCGGGGAGTCCCCTGCCGACACTGGCGTCCATTTCGACCCTCGCGTTTCTCCGGCCTCTGCTACCGGAGCGCGCGGCACCGCTAACTCCGCGAAGCCGGCCGTAGGCTCTTTCTGAGCCTTGAGAGGGGCAGAGGGTGAGGGGTGAGAAGAGATGGCGACTGCGCCCGTACCCACTGCACATCTCGCAGCGCGGGCTCCCGAATCTCCTCCGGCAGCGTGTCCCCGAGCTTTTTCACAAAGCGGCCGCACAGCTCTAGCATTTCCGTCACGGCCCGCTTCGAGGTGCAGCGCACCCGGAAGTCCTCTCGGGAGGTGGCGGCGGCCGAGTCCCCGTCGTCCGCCCCGGTGGCCCTCTCCACGTCCCGCGGAGGGGACGGGACTACCACAGGAGCCCCCGCCATCTTCCCAGTTTGAACTGCGGGCGGGAGCTGGGAGCGGAAGGGCGGGCTCTCACTGGCGGAAGGAGCGCGCGTCCGGCCGGAAACAGTCCCCTGCAGCGGCAGCGTTCCGACTGGGGCTCGGCGGGGGCGTGGACGGTGGCCGTGGCGGTGGCGATGGGGGCGGTGGGCGTAGGGTTGGTGGACTGTCACTGCCACCTCTCGGCCCCGGACTTTGACAGCGTATGTAAGGGCGAGGCCTGGCCGGTGGGAGCGGGAGGCACGCCGGTCCTTTCCCTTAGGGTTGTTTTTGCTCTCCTGCCTTGGGACGCAGCGTCAAACCCTCCCGGGTCCCGTCCGTGGCCCTGAGGGACTTGCTCCCGTCTCTCTAATCTCAGGCTTTCCGGTTTTTCTTCCCGGCGCTGCGGAGCGTGAAGCCCTCTATCTCTGCAAGGCTTCTGTTAGCCCTTCCCGTTTACGAGACGGCGTCCCCCTACCTCCCCTTGGCCCAGCTGCACCCCACGGGCCTCGCAGCTTCGGGCGGGCCTGGCCGAGCGTCCCCTCCGCCCGGGCAGAATGTGCTTCCGACGGACACTTCCCGGCGCGCTGCGAGCTCCGGCTCCGCTGGGGAGAGAAGCAAACAGAGAGAACACACCCCAAACCAGAGTTGCGCAGCGGTTTACCCGCAGACTGGAAACAGAGGCTGATAGAAGGAAGGGCAGGGTCTCTAAGGGGGAAAGACCTCTCAAGAGGTTGACACTTGAGCTAGAGCCGGCCAAGCAAGGAGGTGGTGTGCGGGGCGTGTAAAAAGCAAGCGGGTCGGATTTGACGTGTTCGAGCTACAGAAAGGCTCGGTGCGGGGTGGTGAGCTAGAGACAGCCGCAGGAGTAAGACTGGAGGTTTGCAGGGGCTAGGTGAGGCAGGTCAGGAAGGACAATGTGGAGCCAGGAAAGGTGTTTGGGGTGGGTTGGTTGGCTGGTTGGTTTTAAGGGAGAGTGACAAGATCTGATTTCCATTGAATAACGCTTTGCTGGTGGAGAGTAAGTGTGGAAGTTAGAAAACCAGTTTGGAGGCTTTTGCTGTGTGTAGACAGGAGATGACGGTGGTTGCAGAGGAGTTTGAGAAAAGCAGATGGATTCAGTGTGTGTTTTAGAGCTGGAATCTAGGGCACATGCTGAGGAATTGGATGTGTAGAGGGAGCGAAAGACAGGACGTGAGGATGTTCACTGAGAGGAGGGAAGACAGGATGGGGAGGGCAGAATAAGCTTGTAGAGGAGAGTTATGTTTAGCACATGTTGAAGCCTAATATCCACCCAAGTGGAAATGTCATATGGTCAGTTTTTTAACTGGCAGTCTTAGGTTCAGGAGAGAATTCTAGACTGGAGCTCAAAATTAGCATAACGATGATATCAAAACCTATGGATGAGCTCACCTGAGGTGTGTACAGAGAGAGGAGAATAGGGTCCTGAAATCCGAGAGGAGGGAGCCAGCTGAGGAGCCTGAGAGTAGCAGCTAGTGGAGGGTAGAGTTTGCAGGAGAGCGTTATTGCAGAAGCCAAGAACAGGAGATACTTCTAGGAAGGAAGGCATGGACAAGTGAGGAGTTCTTAATGTCTCTGAGGGGCAGAGTAAGACGAGGACAGGGAGATGTCCTTTATATTTGACAATGACAGTTTCTGTTTTAGTTGAATAGGAGCAGAAGCCAGATTTTACTAAGAGGAAGAGTTAAAAGGTGGGTCAGTGTAGCTCTTCACATCTATCACACTGTTCCTTGCCATTGTTGTCATTTTTTTTTTGCTGCCTCAACTACACTGATATATATAGCCATAGAGAAGTTACGTATTCATCTAAAATAATTGTGATTACTTGCACTTTTTTTAGGATCTGGATGATGTGTTGGAGAAAGCCAAGAAAGTAAGTCAGTATCTATAGTTGCCCTTTGTTTTCCTATTAATTTCAAGCTAGAACAGCTTGAAATTTAGATACACTATGCCTATGTTGCTTTGTTAATAAGAAGTAGCATTAACTGTTTATTGTATGCCAGGCACTGAGCTACGCCCTTTCTGTACATGATCTCATTTAATGTTTCACAGCATCCTTGTGAAGAAGCTACTATTTTATAGCCAACCATTACCCATTTGATAGAGGAGGAAACGCAGACCTAGAGATTAACTTATCCAAAGATACACTGTTAGTAAAGTAATACAGACAGAGTAGTCTGAATCCAAAACCTGTTCCCACAGCTACCGTGCTTACCAGTTATACGGCTCAGATTGGTCCATCTATCAGTTCTAAAATTAACATTATTCCAGAGATCTTGGAGAAATTATAAAACTTTTCTGAAACATTTTTATTTGTTTCAGGAAAGAATAACTAATTTTTAGAAGTTTTTATGAAATTCATTATAACTACCACTTTGTAGCTTTCTCTTAAAGTGATAGAAACGGTTGCCAGTACATTTTTACATACACAGCCATCATTCAATATGGCAACTTAATTAGGAGCATGGGCCCTGGCATTACTCAGGCATAATGATCTTGAGCCAAGTTATTTGACTTCATCCAAAATTTCTAATCAATATGATGGATTACAGCAGTGCCTACCTCATAAGGTTGTATAGATTAAATGAGGTAATATTTTTATTTACTGAACATAGTGCTGGAATCATAGGAGGTACTCAGTGATAACCATCGTGATTATATTGATAGAGTATAAGTGAGCAAGAATAACTAAAAGTACAGAAGACTTTAAATTTCTCTTCAGTTATGTTAGATGTATATTGTTTGAGACTCTGTTGTATTCATTTTTGTTTCAGGCCAATGTTATGGCTCTTGTGGTGGTTGCTGAACATTCGGGAGAATTTGAAAAGATTATGCAGCTTTCAGAAAGGTGCTACTTTTCATTAAGAATTTAAAGTGTTGGGGTGCCTGGGTGGCTCAGTGGGTTGAGCCTCTACCTTCGGCTCAGGTCATGATCTCAGGGTCCTGGGATCGGAGCCCCAGGTCAGGCTCTCTGCTCAGCGGGGAGACTGCTTCTCTCTCTTGCTCTGCCTGCTGCTCTGTCTACTTGCAATCTCTCTCTCTGACAAATGAATAAATTTTAAAAACTGAAGGAAAAAAAAAAGAATTTAGAGAGTTGCTGGGGCGCCTGGGTGGGCCAGTTGGTTGAGCGTCTGCCTTCGGCATGGGTCATGATCTCGGGGTCCTGGGATTGAGCCCTTCATTGGGCTCCCTGCTAGATGGAGAATCTGCTTCTCTCTCTCTCCCCCTCTGGCCCTCCCCTTGCTTGTGCTCTCTCCAACAAATAGATAAATAAAATCTTAAAAAAATAAAAAAAGAATTTAAAGAGTTGCTAATAAGGATGCAGTTATGATGTCCTATTTGTACTATCAAAGGTCATCCAATTTTAAAGAGAATGAAAAGAAAAAACTCACATCAGCATAGCCTTAAGAAGCTTTTTCATACTTTTTCTTTAGGATAACATTGTCTACTAGTTCAATATTCCGCTTTCTTAATTTGTTCTACATTTTTAGGTATAAGGGGTTTGTCCTGCCCTGCTTGGGTGTTCACCCTGTTCAAGGAGTTTCTCCAGGAGACCAAAGATGTGTCACATCAAAGGTAAAAGTCATGTAAAACAAAAAGCATTAAAAAAGATACCTTCATTCAGTAATGCTCCTCTTTCTGATTTATATTCTAAGGCAATAATCCAGAAGAAGGAAATGTTACCTTTCACAAAGGTGTTTGTTGCATCATTATTTGTAGTAGAGAAAAAACAGAAATAGCCTAGAGGCTCAGAAATAAAGGAAAAATTAACTTGTAGAGTGTTAAATATATATATGTATGGAATGCATGCATGGAAGATGACAGCTATAGGGTTTGTTTTATGTAGCAATGAGGAAAGTGTTTTAAAATGTAAAAATATATTCTATAAGAGGGAAAAACACAGAAATTATATTAGCTGTGATGACTGGGTAGAATTATAAGCGACTTGCTTTCACATGTTTTTACCATGTTGTCATATTGCTTTAGCCAAAAAGTAATAAAATATCCAGAAAAAGAAAGATACAAATTTGTAGATGTAGTACCATAAAGGAACAGATGAGTTCAGTACATAGTATCTTCTTGAACGTTAAACTGTCTCTGAGGGAATGCTCTTGATCTATTAAACTGCCGTGCTGGGGCGCCCGGGTGGGTCAGTGGGTTAAAGCCTCTGCCTTCCGCTCAGGTCGTGATCTTGGGGTCCTGGGATCGAGCCCCACATCGGGCTCTCTGCTCAGTGGGGAGCCTCCTTCCCTCTCTCTCTCTCTGCCTGCCTCTCTGCCTACTTGTGATCTCTCTCTCTGTCAAATAGATAAATAAAATCTTAAAAAAAAAAACACAAAACTGCACTGCTTTTATACCATCTCTAAAAAAAAAATCCTTCCTACAAGATCTCACTGACTCATAGTAGCCAGTATGTCTCGTATTTCAGACTGGTCTCCTGACTCAGAATCAGGGAGATAGTTTCTTAAGTGCTTTATTACAAAATGAGATTGATAGCCCCCCATTTTGAAGAAGTAAAGACTTTTTGTTACCTATGAATAAATTAAAATACAAGGTCTTTCATTTTTTATAATAATGAATCTGTATTCCTACGTTAGGATACCCCAGGTAGCTCTATTTATTTTGAAACAAAATTGCTTTTAATTCACTTCAGATAATAATAAATACTTGTCCTATAGCTGGCGTGGTTCTCCTGGGATGATAAAATTAAATTGCCGAGAGATACAGTTCCCAAAATGTTGGAGATCATAGCAGGACAGGATTTCTTTCATTTATATAGAGATTTATATGAATAGGCATTCATTTAGTCAGTCAGTCAACAAGTGTTTTTACTGAGCACCTACTGCATTCCATGCACTGTTCTAAGCACTGTAGTAGAGAATGAAATCCCTCTCATGGAAGCTAGATTCTAGCAGACAATCAACAATTAGATACATGAACAGGAAAACTAGGTAGCAGTCAGTGCCTTAAGACAATAAAACAAGATCATGTGATAGGGATTGTGGATGCTGATTTTTGGATTGTATGTAGTCAAGGAAGGCCTCTCTGAGGTCGTGATATGAGAACTGCAGCCTGAATGCTACCAAGGAATTGGCCCTGCAGAGAGAGGGCTCAGAGTATTGTAGGCAAAGGAAAGAACCCAGCATGAAGGTCCTAAGGTAAGAACAAGCTTGATGTGGTCAAGAAACAGAAAGAGAGCTGAGGTCACCAGAGAGAAGGAAAAGTCGTGGTGGTGAGGTCAGAGGGACTGGGCGGGGAGCACTGTGTCTGGGGCCGTGCTGGAGTTCATATATATATACACACACACACATATATATATATACACACACACACATATACATATATGTATATGTATATATTTTTTATATATTAATATAATGTATATTTTACTTACATATATATTTACTTATATATAATATATATGTTTATTTATATATATTATATATTTTTTATAATTTTTTTAAAAAGATCTTTATTTATTTGAGAGAGAGAGCATGAGAGGAGAGAGGTCAGCTGGAGAAGCAGACTCCCTGCCAAGCAGGGAGCCTGATGTGGGTCTTGATCCTGGGACTCCAGGATCATGATCTGAGCCAAAGGCAGTCACCCAACCAACTAAGCCATCCAGGCACCCCGGGATTTATATTTTGAAGAGATCCCCTTGGGTATGGTATGAAGAACAAATCTTGAAGAGTGCCAAAAAAGGAAGACAGGAGGAGTGAGAAGACTATTGGAGTAGTTCCTAGGAGAGACGATGGCAGCCTGGACCAGAGTGCTAGCAGCACAGGCGAGGGGAAGTGGGTGGATTTGTCATATTTTGGCATGAATGTAGAACTGACAGAACTGTTTAACTTAAAAAGCTAATGAAGTAGCAACAATAGATAGGTAATTCCAGATTCTTAAAGCAGGGATGAAATGAAAAACATCTCAGAATAGCCCTCTGGAAAACACCAGAGATAAGCAGTTATTCCTCTTTTATTCTTAGTGTGCTTGAAGTCCGTACCGTAGTATGGTTTTCTCATAATGATTAGATTATAAATCCCTAATATGTGGTACAAAGCTTGGTATGTAGTAAGTGTTAAGTAAATTCACTTGGTTCATAAAACTAAAGTTGCTGGGGCGCCTCAGTGTCTGATTCGGTTCCAGGTTGGACTCTTGATTTCTGCTCAGGTCGTGATCCCAGGGTCACGAGATCAAACCCCACATTGGGTTCTGCCCTAGGTGTGGAACCTGCTTGGGATTCTCTCTCTCCCTTTGCCCTTCCTCTATTTATCTCTCATAAAATATCTAAAATTAAAGTTGCATCACACTAATCTTTCGGCATGTTCCTGAACTAATTCGTTCAATAAATACTACTACCTGGCAGGTCTTGGGCCCCAGAGCTATTTCAGGGAACCACAGTTCACTGTGTGTGAGCCTACTGCCCCCTGCAGGCAGGGCATGTGTTCTGCAGTTGTCTCCCATCTCTGCTTGGCTCACTTCACTCATTTGTGTTATGCACCCCTCACCCTCTTTTCAAGACTGTGAAGACTAAACATTTTATTTAATAAAAAAGCTACTGTGATTATTTAAAATCATTCAGAATAAATCTTACAAATGGTAGTAGTCCCAGTCATTGGGTGTAGAGGTATAGGATCTTTAAAAACCCCATAATAGGGGTGCCTGGGTGGTTCAGTGAGTTGAGCCTCTGCCTTCTGCTCTGGTCATGGTCTCAGGGTCAGGGTGGGGGTGGTCAAGCTCCATGTCGAGCCCCGTGGCAGGCTCTCTGCTCGGCGGGGAGCCTGCTTACCCCCCTCTCTGCCTGCCTCTCTGCCTACTTGTGATCTCTCTCTCTCTGTCAAATAAATGGATAAAATCCTTTAAAAAAATACATAATAGAACCATTAGCTTGTAAAGAACTTGAGAACATCATTCAAGAGGTGGGAAAAGAAATGAAGTCAGAAATAGACCTATGAATGTCTTTATAAAACTATTTATATCTATTGAAATAAAATGGTAGAGACCATACGCACTCGAATACACACATATAAAATTAGTAATATGAATTATATTAATTTCTATTTCCTATCCTTGACTTGCCAGAAACTTTCAGATTATTTCATGAGTGTTGGAACAGTCTCATTGTAAATTTGTTTTGCTTTTTTCACAGTAATAGATATTCCAAGAAGCATTTTTCCCCTCTATCTGGTCTTCATCCAAATGTACACTTTCTTTCTAAGACTTTCCAAGTATCAACCATTTCTTGGGTAATCTCCAACTTCTCCAGCCCCTCTGAACTTCAGAGACAGAGCAGTTTGGATATTTGATTGGAAAAGCTTTGGCTGACGACATTTAACCTCCTCAGCTGTTGTTAGACACCTTCTCTGGTCTCTAGGTCTCTAGGGTCTCTGGTCTCTTAGCTCCTTATGACAGTGTTAAATCCTCTTTATCGAGTCTACTAGAATGTATTTTTAAGGCCATGATCTACTCTGTCTCTCATGTTTTCTGTCTCCAGAGGTATAATTGTAGAATCTCCTCCTGCACCTCTTTTCTTAATTCTCCTTTGTTCTAATTAGCCTCAGTAGAAGTTCTTTGCAATTTACATATCCTGAGACTAAAACCCTCAAAGTAGTTTGAAAAATATCTAGAAGCAAGTTTTCCATATATTTGTCTTTCCCCTGTCTTACAAGGGAACTCTCACAGAGTAAATTCTCTTTAAATGGAAATAGTAATATGGAAACTAACGGTACTTTGTTACTTGAATAATTGACAAGCATATGTGTGATAATTAGTATTTAGACTGTTGAACCTTTAGAACAAAAATAGGCTAAGCAGGATTATAAACACAAAAGAAATCAGTGAAAATAGTGCAAAGGATATATGGGATTGTTCCTATTAAAAAACTCAAAAACCATTAGTATCCTGAGAGGAGAACATAACACAGCCCACTCCCCAGGAACTCAGTTACAAAGGTGACTACCAAAGATGGTTTTCTTCTGTCTTGGTCAGCTATTGCAGGAGGAAATCCAAATCAGTCCTAAATGTCAGGAAATTCTTCCTAAATGTTAGGAAGTGTTTAAGTGAGCCTTTTCATTGAAAGTCATGTTCTTGTGACCTGACTGGGTGTGGGATGTTTCTACTCAAATTTCCAAATAGTAGTGCTCACCATTATAGAAGGATGACTATGGCTACCTCTTCAACTGGTTAAAGGTATTGAATGTATGTAAAGGACCCAATATAGTATAGTGCCTGGTATATAAAAGGTGTTTTCTAAAATATCAGTTCCCTTACCCTTCTATTTAAACAAATTTCCTTTTTTTCTTCTAGGATTTGGATGTAGCTTTGCCTATTATGGAGAATTATAAAGATCAGTTGTTGGCAATTGGAGAGGTAACACCAAATAGCTGATCAAAGGACTTCTAATCTAGACTTTCATGGATATACATGGATATACTTTACACGGATATAATCTTTAGTTTGCTATTGGTGATTATAACTGACTTAGATAATTATACTCCCTTCATCTAGCTGGATAATAATTTGTCAGTTCTTTCTCAATAAGCAAAAGAGCCTGAGGTAAGACAGTAGAAAGCCCACTGTAGACTTATATTAATGAAAAGAAAACTACTTTATTAGCATTTCTGTGTACTTTGTTCTTTTTTTCCCCCCCTTTTCTTAAATACAGTCATCATCTCTATATTTACTTAACAGAGTATATACAAACATACTTTAAATATACTAGATTTTGTTGGGGTGCCTGGCTGGCTTAGTTGGTGGAGCATGTGACTCTTGATCTCAGGGTCATAAGTTCCAGCCCCACAGTGGACATAGAACTTAATAAATAAATAAATAAAATATTTTTTTAATTTAAAAATAGTCTAGAGTTTGTAATTAAAGAACATTTTTTATTAAATAATTTACAATCAGGAAGCATTTTTATCACTTGGTAATAAACGCCACTTCTAATCAAAGACAAAAGATAAAAGTAACACTTAAATTTAGAATGTAGACTATAGGGGCACCTGGGTGGCTCAGTGGGTTAAGCCTCTGCCTTAGGTTCAGGTCATGATCTCAGGGTCCTAGGATCGAGCCCTGCATCGGCTCTCTGCTCAGCGGGGAGCCTGCTTCCCCCCTCTCTCTGCCTGTCTCTCTGCCTATTTGTGATCTCTGTCAAATAAATCTTATTTTAAAAAGATAGAATATAGACTATAGCAGTCTATGACAAAATAGTATCAAGAGAAACAGTCATTTATAATCTTCACTGCCCAATGTAGTAACCACATACAGCACTTGAAATGCGACTGGTCAAAATTGAGATTTGTACAAATACAAAACACACAGGATTTCAAAGTCTTAGTACCCCCCCCAAAAAATTAAAATAATGCAATTATTTTTTAATATTGATTTTGTGTTGAAATAATATTATTATATAATAATATGTTTTGGATATATAGACTAAATAAAGTATATCATTAAAATTAATTTCACCTGATTTTTGTTAGTATTTTTAATGTTGCTACTAGAAAATGTCAAGTTATGTATGTGGCTTGCATGTATGGCTCCCATCATATTTCTCTTGGACAGCACTGCTCCATAGTCTGTCTTTTGAATTCATTAAACCATAAACATGTAAATCTGTTTTATTTTTCTGTTACAGGTGGGACTAGATTTCTCTCCCAGATTTGCTGGCACCGATGAGCAGAAGGAAGAGCAACGACAAGTCCTAATCCGACAGGTCCAGTTAGCCAAAAGATTAAATTTGCCTTTGTAGGTTAATTAATCATCTTTCTATATTCATAGCTATAGAGAAAATTGAATAATGATTCTCCTGAGATGGAGCTCTGTATTTCTTATTCTCTGAATTACTTGAATAGAACAAAAATAACACTTTCAGATTAAGTACCTAAAAGGAATATTTTGTTGTTAAACAGAAATGTTCACTCACGTTCTGCTGGAAGACCCACCATCAGCCTCTTAAATGAGCAAGGTAACTTAGTTTCCTGAGAGAAGCGTGCCTAGTATTTACGTTTGATGGTTCCAGTCCATATTCTCATAGAATAAGCCGTGTTTTAATTTTATTTCTTAAAAGGAAGGGAAGGGAGTGGGATAAGGGCGGAGGTGGAAATGAACTAAGGTGATTCTGCAAGTCAGCCTACTTTCAAGTGTGATTATGACATTTGGAAGGCCAGTGTAGAGCAAACGAAAAATTGGGTCAAGTAGTTTATATTCCTTCATTTAAAAATTAACAGCCCTAATTTTTTAATCAGCTTAAGCGACTGATTAATGAGAGATGAAAAACACAAAGCAAAGATGGGTTTACTGTGTCTTGCATGTTTCCTGGCTGCTGCCTCAGAAAATGGTATTATACAGGTCGTGGCCATCATACCTGAAATGCACTGTCGTCTTCACCGGTTGCTCCTAAAGTAAAAATATATCTTACAGCATTACTTTTCAGACTTTTTAAAGTACCATCCATAGTAAGAAATACACTTAAGTGCTTTTTTGGTACTAAGCCTTTATTTTGACACGCAGTATGTACATATACAGAAAACTGACCAAAGTTTAAGGAGCAGTGCATCTCTATGTATGTGCAGATAGATAGGTGTATATAAACATGTGCACATACATACACACAGTAACACACATACATATAAGCATATGCTGCTCAGTTACAACCCACTAAATCAATTCCATAATTCAGTTAAGATTGTAACTCACTGATGATCATGCCTACTATTTGAAAAAAACAACATCAAATAGTAAAGTAAATGTCATTGCCTGCAACTAGAAAGCATTGTATTTCTCAGTGCTGAGAATCACTGGAATTACTAAGGCATGATTTTTATGCAGGCTGAAAGGCCAACCTTTAAGAGCTGGAAGTGATTTGGTGAAGCCTGTCCTGACTATTGAGTCTCTGAGTCACTGACCTCCCTATTTCTTCTTTCACTAGCATTCTTGTTAAGGATAATTTCACTGCTTAGAAACCTAGTAGGAACAATAATTTGACAGTTTACAAACTTCTAGAAAAGGTTTGATGGTATAAGAAGTGTAAATATTTGTTTAAAAATTTTTATTTTTTTTTTTTAAATGTAGTCTCCATGTCCAGGGTGGAGCCCAACGTGGGGCTTGAACTCCTAACCCTGAAATCAAGACCTGGACGCTTAACTGACTGAGCCACCCAGGGGGCCCTTAAAAAATTGTATTTCAGTTTTATTCTGAAGATTTAAAATGTCCTGTGTTTTTTATTTTACTGTCTGAATACTGTACATTTACCCTTTAGAAATCATATAGGGGCACCTGGTTGGAAGAGCATGCAACTCTTCATCTCAGGGTTTTGAGTTCAAGTTCTATATGTGGTGTAGAGATTACTTAAATAAATTTAAAAAAAAAAAAGGAAGCCATAGAACCTCATCTTTATATTGTAGTGACCAACATTTACTCAAAATTTATAATCTGTGTTGCCCAATTTGATTAGTGGGAAAACTTCTTGTTAAGGAAATGAAAGGAAACTCTAAATTATCTTGAATTTTTAACAGGTGCTGACAAAGTGCTCCTACATGCATTTGATGGTCGGCCATCTGTAGCGATGGAAGGAGTTAAAGCTGGGTACTTCTTCTCAATTCCTCCTTCTATAATAAGAAGCGGACAGGTAAGTTCCGTAACTAAGCCTCATTTTATGCTTTGTGAAATACCCTTTAAAACATGAGCTTTTATTACACACTCGTAATACTATTCTAATTACATTACAAAAATTAATCGTTGGTTCCTGCCTCATACTTATATGAAAAGTAGCTCAAAAATGAGTAAAAGAGCTAAACCTAAGAGAGCTGAAATTTATAAAACTATTAGAAGAAAACAAATTGAAATCTTTGTAACCTTGGAATAGGCAGTGGTTTCTTAAATATGACACCAAAAGCACAAGCAACCAAAGAAAAAAATAGGTAAATTGGACATCATCAAAATTGAAAACTTCCACAATAAAACAATTTTTGAACTTTTATGTTTCAAAAGACACTATCAAGAAAGTGAAAAGATAACCCACAGAATGAGGAAAGATATTTGCAAATTATATCTGATAAGGGTCTAGTATCCAGAGTATATAAAACACCATTACAACTCACCAACTAAAAAGACAAATAATCTGGGGCACTGGGTGGCTCACTCGGTTAAGTGTCCAACTCATGGTTTGAGCTCAGGTTGTGATCTCAGGGTTCTGGGATTGAACCCTGCGTCAGGCTCTGTGCTTAGTGGGGCGTCTGCTTTGAGAGTCTCCCTCTCCTTCCTCTGCCCCTTCCCGCTCACACTGTCTCTCTCATTTCCAAATAGATAAATAAATCTTTAAAAAAAAAAAAAAGTTGGATTTTGTAAAAAATTTTTTTTTCTTTTTAAAGAAACTCTTTATTTCTATCAACCTTATTTCCATTTAATGTTTATCACATGTTTGTTCTCCCTCTACTGAGCTGATCATACTGGTTTTCTTTTCTTGGCCTGTAAATTGTATTGATTGGTTTTCCAGTGTTGAACTAACCTGGTATTCCTTGGCTCAATTCTCCTTGGTCATGATCCAGGCACACCTCAGTGCTGTTGCAGGTCCCATTTCAGACCTCTGCAATAAAGCATATATCATAGTAAAGCAAGTCAGGTGAATTTTTTGGTTTCCCAGTACATGTAAAAGTTATGTGTACACTATGCTGTAGCCTGTTAAGTGTGCAGTAGCACTGTGTCCAAAAAAAAAAAAAATGTACTTACCTTAATTTCTAAGTATTTTATTGTGGGACACCTGGGTGGCTCAGTGAGTTAAGTGTCGAGCTCTTGGTTTGAACCCAGGTCATGGTCTTGCAGTCATGGGGTCCAGCCCTGTGTCCAGCTCCTTGTTCAGTGAAGAGTCTGCTTCAGACTCTACCCTCTACCCTTCCCTGCTGGTGTGTGCTTGCTGGCTCGCTCGCTCTCTCAAATAAATAAGGAAAATTTTAAAAATAAATAAATAAACAAGACTATTTTATTGTTGAAAAAATGCTAGCCGTCATCTGAGCTTTCAGTGAGTCATCATCTCCTTGCTGGTGGAGGGCTTCCCTCGGTGCTGGTGGCTGCGGAGTGACTAGGGTGACGGTTGCTGAAGGCTGGCGGGGCTGTGGCAATTTCCTAAAATAAGACAACAGTGAAGTTTGCTGCATCCATTAGTCCTTCCTTTCACGAGTGATTTTTCTGTAGCCTGTGTTGCTCTTTGGTAGCGTTTTGCCCACAGGAGAACTTCTTTCAGAATTGGAGTCAGTCCACTGAAACCCTGCCCACTTCTTTGTCAACTAAATACATGTAATATTCTAAATCTTTTGCTGTTGTTTCAACAATTGTCACAGCGTCTTCACCAGGAATAGATTCCATCCCAAGAAACTACTTTCTTGTCTCACCCCTAAGAAGCAACTTTTATAATTCATTCATTCAAGTTTTACCTTGAAATTGCAATAGTTAATTCTCGTCTTCAGGCTCCACTTCTGATTGCGGTGCTCTGACTGTTCCCCCCCTGAAGTCTTGAACCCCTAAGTTGTTTATGAGGGTTGAAATAAATTTCTTCCAAGCTTGTGTTAATGTTGATATTTGGACCTCTTCCTCTGACTTACAAATGCTCCTAATGACATGTAGAATGGTGAATTCTTTCCAGAAGGTTTTCAAAACTTGCAAACCGGAGTTATTCCTTGATCCACACACTGCAGAATGGATGTTGTGTGAGCAGGCATGGAAACAACACTGCTCTCCGTGCACACCTCCGTCAGAGCCCTCGAGCAACCAGGTGCATTATCAATGAGCAGTAATATTTTGGAAGGAATCCTCTTGTCTCAACAGTGGACTTAATTTTTGTTAAATCATGTCATAAGCAGATGTGCCTGCACGCAAGCTTTGTTGTTCCATTCATAGAGCACAAGCAGAATAGATTTAGCAGGGGCGCCTGGGTGGCTCAGTTGGTTAAGCCTCTGCCTTCAGCTCAGGTCATGATCTTGGAGTCCCAGGATCGAGTCTCACATCAGCCTCCCAGCTCCATGGGGAGTCTGCTTCTCCCCTCTCATGCTCTTTCTCTCTCTCTCTCTCTCAAATAAATAAATAAAATCTTAAAAAAGAAAAAAAAGAATAGGTTTAGCACTATTTCTAAGGGTCCTAGGGTTTTTGGAATGGTAAACACTGGCTTCAACTTAAAGTCAACCAGCTGCGTTAGCTCCTAGTGAGAGTCAGTCTGTCCTTTAAAGTTTTGAAGGCAGGCATAGACTTTTTCTCTCTAGCCAGGAAAGCCCTAGACGGCATCTTCTTCCAACAGAAGACTATCTTCGTTGAAAATCTATTGTTTAGCTGCCTTCATGAATTCTCTTAGCTAGATCTTCTGGGTAACTTGCTGCAGCTTCTCCATCAGCACCTGCTGCTTCTCATTGCATCTTGATGTTATGGGGACGACTTCTTTCTGGAAACCTCATGCACCAACCTCTGCTAGCGTCAAGCTCTTCTGCAGCTTCCTGCCCTCTCTCAGCCCGCATAGAATTGAAGGGCCTTGCTCTGAATGGGGCTTCGGCTTAAGGGAAGGCTGTGGCTGGTTTAATCTTCTATCCAGATCACTCAGACTTTCTCCATATCAGTAATAAGGCTGTTTCGCTTTATCATTTGTGTGTTCCCTCGAGCACCACTTTTAATTTCCTTCAAGAACATCTTCACATTCACAACTCCGTGAACAAGCCTAAAAGGTCTCACTTTCAGCCTATCTTGGCTCTTATCACCGGGCTTAATCATTTCTAGCTTTTGATTAAAATGAGAAATGTGTGACTCTTCCTTTCCCTTGAACACTTAAAGGCCACTGTAGTGTTTTTAGTTGGCCTAATTTCAGTATTGTATGTCTCAGGAAAAGGCCCAGGGAGAGGGAGAGAGACAACAGAATGGCTGGTGAGTGGAGCGATCAGAACACACAAGACTTATCAATTAAACTTACCATCTTGGGGTGCCTGGGGAGCTCAGTTGAGCACCTGCTTTTGGCTCAGGTCATGGTCCCAGGGCCCTGGGGTGGAGCCCTGCATCGGGCTTTCTGCTCAGTGGGGAGTCTACTTTTCTCTCTTTCTATGCTGCTCCCCGTTTGTGCTCTCTCGCTGTCTCTGTCAAATAAATATATAAATAAAATCTTTTTTTTTTTAAATTTTATTTATTTATTTGAGAATGAGAGAGAGAAAGAGAGAGAGAGAGCATGAGAAGGGGGAGGGTCAGAGGGAGAAGCAGATTCTCTGCCAAGCAGGGAGCCCAATGTGAGACTCGATTCTGGGACTCCAGGATCATGACCTGAGCCGAAGGCAGTCGCTTAACCAACTGAGCCACCCAGGTGCCCCTAAATAAAATCTTTAAAAAAATAAAAATAAAAAATAAACGTACCTTCTCATATGGGCACAGTTTGGGGTTCTGCAGAACAATCACAATAGCAACATCAAAGATCACTGATCACAAACGAGCGTAACAAATATAATGACAATGAAAATGTTTAAAATATTGCAAGAATTACCAAAATGTGATGCAGAGACACGAAATGAGAAAATGCTGTTGGAAAAATGGCACCAATAGACCTGCAGGGTCGCCAAAAACCTTCGATTTATAAAAAAACAAACAAAAAAACCCTCACTATCTGTGAAACACAATAAAACAAGGTATGCCTGCATATTATGCTTTTTATAGCTTCATTTTATAGTTTATGGTAGAACTTCATTTATTTAAAATCTTGTTTTTTCATATAAAGCTTTACTGCTGTAGTTGCATTAGCACTAACCAGACCTTGTAGTTGCAATCCACAGATTTTGATAGTTGCTGTATTTTCACCTTCTTTCAGTTTGGAATATTTCTTAATTTACCTTGTGACTTCCTCTTTGACCATATCAGTTATTTCAAAGTGTGTTACTCAATTTCCAAATACTTGGGAAAATTTTGGATATCTGCTTGTGTCTCTAAGTATGCATCTACCTTATCTTTAAAGTGATTGCACAATACTTCACAATATGAATGTACCATAATTTATTTAATCATTACCTTAAGTAAAATTTAGGTCATTTCTAGTTTTTCACTGTTATAAACAGTGTTTTAGTACTCAGCCATAAAAAAGAATGAAATCTTGCCATTTCAACAAAATGGGTAGACCAAGAAGGTATTATGCTAAATGAAATAAATGAGACAGAAAAAGACCAATACCATATGATTTTACTTTTATGTGGAATCTAAAAAATGAAACAGATGAACAAAGAAAACCAAACAGACTCATAAGGGAACAAACCGGTGGTTGCCAGAAGAAAGGGGGTGGGGAGATGGGCAAAATATGTGAAGGGAGTTAAGAGGTACAAACTTTCAGTTACAAAATAAGTCATGGTGTTGAAAAGTACAGCATAGAGAATATAGTCAGTAGTATTGTGATCCTCTTGTATGGGGACCGATGGTAACTACATTTTTTTTTTTAAGATTTTATTTATTTGACAGAGAGGGAGAGATCACAAGTAGGCAGAGAGGCAGGCAGAGAGAGGAGGGAAGCAGGCTCCCCGCTGAGCAGAGAGCGGGGCTCGATCCCAAGACTGTGCTATCATGACCTGAACCGAAGGCAGAGGCTTAACCCACTGAGCCACACAGGCAGCCCAGTAACGACATTTATTGTGGTAACATTTAGTAACAGTTGGAAATTTTAGTAATTAATTGAATATGAAAGCATGAATTTTAGGTTCCTGCCAAGTAGAATGCATTGGTATATGGGTTTAATGCTTTTTTAAAAAATTTTTGTCTCGTGTTTTAAACTGACTAGCTTTCTCTTTTCTCTAAGAAGCAGAAACTTGTGAAACAGTTGCCTTTAACTTCAATTTGCTTAGAAACAGATTCACCTGCACTAGGACCAGAAAAACAGGTAAGTGATTATCTAATTCCTACATTATTTAGATTGTCTTTCTTTTGAATTATTTTCACCTTAGCTGTGTTTCTCATCATGGTATAAATACAATGGAATCCTTTTATTTTTTTCCAAGATTTTATTTATGTATTTGAAAGAGAGAGAGTGAATGAGAGGGAGAGAGAATCCCACACTGAGCAGACTCCACACTGAGCACAGCCTGACACAGGGCTTGATCCCACGACCACAAAATCATGATCTGAGCCAAAACAAACTGAACCACGCAGGTGCCCCCACTGGAATCCTATTTTAATGCTTGGTTGAGAGATTTTATTAATTGTATAGCTGCTGTGCTCCAGCAGATATTCTTAGATATTGGCCAATGTTAACTTACATAATAATCAGAGCCAGACCAGTATAGTAAAAAAGGCTCAGTTTCTCTGCTACCCACTAGGTGTGTGACTTTGGGCAAGTTACTTAATCTCTTTGAAACTGTTTCCTCTGGGTGCCTGGCTGGCTCAGCTGGTTAAGTGCCTCAGGTCATGATCCCAGAGTACCCGGATAGATCCCTGCTGCGGGGGGGGGGGGGGGGGGGGGGGGGGGGGGGGGGGGGGGTGGGGGGGGGGGTGTCTGCTTCTCCCTCTCCCTCTGCTCCTCCCCCTGCTGGTACTCTCTCTCTCATTCACTCTCCCTTTCAAATAAATAAATAAACTTTTTTTTTTAAAAGATTTTATTTATTTATTTGACAGACAGAGATCACAAGTAGGCAGAGAGGCAGGCAAAGAGAGAGAGGGAAGCAGGCTCCCTGCTGAGCAGAGAGCCCGATGCGGAACTCGATCCCAGGACCCTGAGATCATGACCTGAGCCGAAGGCAGCGGCTTAACCCACTGAGCCACCCAGGCGCCCAATAAATAAACTTTTTAAGAAGAACCCATTTCCTCTACAAAATGTAGAGCAAAGATCACATCAGTAAATCCATGACTGTATCAACATTTATACTGAAAGAAACAGAGCTTCATTATAGCATGCCAGTTAAAAGAAGGAAAATAAACATTTCTTGAGCATCTTCTATCTACCAGGCACTGACAGACATTTCATATACGTTATTTCACTTAATCCACACTGTAATATTCTAATGTTATTAGTGTCATTTACATTGTATAGTAAATATATAAGATGAGTTTTTATGTTATTTACATCTCTTTTAAATGATAATTGACTAAACAAAAACAGTTTAATAGTATGCTGTTGGCTTTACAATATATACGAAAATAAAATGCATGAAAGCTATAGCATAAGGGCTGAAAAGGGAAAAATGGAAGTTATCCTGTTGGAAGATTTTTATACTATATGTGAAGGGATATGATATCACTTAAAGATAGACTTTATTTAATTAAAGATGTACACGAAAAATCCTAAAGCAAGCACTAAAACAACATTTTCTTTTTTTTTTTTAAGATTTTTATTTATTTGACAGAGAGAGGGAGAGCACACAAGCAGGGGGAGCGGCAGGCAGAGGGAGAAAAAGAAGGAGGCTCCCCGCTGAGCAGGGAGCCTGATGTAGGACCCAGGACCCCGAGATCATGACCTGAGCCAGAGGCAGATGCTTAACCATCCTTCCACCCTTTTTAATATTTATATGTGCACATATATATTTTTCATAAAAATAGAATTCACTTGAACACATTTCATGACTTGCTTTTACGTGATAAATATCTGTATATGTCAATAAATATACTTCTCCTTATCATGTTAAATAACTGAATATTCCAGTGTGTAAACAGTCCATAATATATGTAACTTGCTATTGTCATTTACGTTGTTTCCAATATAGTTTCATAAACAATATGATGAACGTCCCGGAGCAAAAATCTTGGTGCACATTTTTCCTTGTTTTTTTTTAGGCAAATTATCAAGGTCAATTTTTTTAAACTTTAACAGTTCTCTTATTCCTCTGAACATTATCATCCTGAGTAGAAAAGAAAATGAAATTCATAAAATCTAAATACTACTGATGATAGATATACCACTATTTTGTAACCATTAAAAAAGGAAAAAGCACCGCCAGTTACGCTATGACATGCCATTGCATGTAAGTAAAACATCCATCAATTTCAGAGATGTTAAATGGGAGGAAATGCATCTTAGAATTAGTGAAATACCATAATACATAATCTATTTAGACACACCGTAGCAATTCTTTTTTTTTTTAAGATTTTATTTATTTATTTGACAGAAAGAGATCACAAGCAGGCAGAGAGGCAGGCAGAGAGAGAGAGGAGAAAGCAGGCTCTCCTCGGAGCAGAGAGCCCGATGTGGGGCTCGATCCCAGGACCCTGGGATCATGACCTGAGCTGAAGGCAGAGGCTTTAACCTACTGAGCCACCCAGGCGCCCCACACCGTAGCAATTCTTGAATCCAACTGTAATATAACCTGTGAGGTGAAGAGGCCCAGCCGTAGAGCAGTGACCTTTACAAGGAGTCACTTACGCAACAGACTAAGCACAGTTAATCCATCTGGCGGGGCCGGTCACCAAGTGTTCACCACCTGTACGCTGCTTTGTCTCCTAGGCACCGGGACCTCAATGGTAATACCCAGGGCTCTTTCCAAGAGCAACACCGACGACCGTCAGCGTTGTACAGGCCAGCCTTGCGGCTGTAGCTTTTAAGCTTAAGTTCAGGGACTTCTCCCCAGGCTTGCCTCCTTGCCTCTCCTCACCTGCCTGTTAAGAAGAAGAGCTCATTGGTTTTTACCAGCTCACTGTGTTCTATCAGTGGTCTCCAAGATTTCTACCCTGAGTGTCATGTCTGATACACTTTCTGTTTTATTCTGTTTCAGGTACGAAATGAACCCCAGAACATTTCCATTTCGGCAGAATATATTGCCCAGGTAAAGGGGATCCCAGTAGAAGAAGTTATAGAGGTGACAACACAGAATGCGTTGAGACTGTTTCCCAGGCTTCAGCACCTGCTCCTGAAGTAGCTTCAAAACCAGATGCCGCAGGGGAAGCATTTGAGAGCAAGAAACGTTCTGATTAAGAGTCTGAACTGAAGAAGCCATTATGTAACGATATAGAAGATTATCACTTTAGAGAAATATTTCTAAAAACCGGGCTTGGATCCTGAAACCCTGGATTCTGAGTCTGTCTTGTGCTTCCTTATCATTATTGGAGTCCTAGCAGGAGACTGGGAGACACCTCTGCTTCTTACCGTACCCCATTAAGTAGAACCACCGTATGACCTGGAACCATCTCTCTGGCAAGGGAGGCTCCCCCAGGTAAGACCTGAGCGCTGCCGGCACCACTAACGTTTGATCCTCCCAGGATTTATCTGGCAGAAGGAGATCGTCTCGTTTCTTACACTGTCAGAGATCTCTTTTCTGGATTCGTAACATTGAATTGTTAGTACTTTGAATTACTTCTTTTTAAGAGAAAAATGTATACGTTTTTATATTGGTGGTAGAGTCTGACTTAGGAGGCCAGTGGTGTGTGCAATCACCATTAAATGCCAAGCCCCAAAGTTTAGGTAATAAACTGAGTTTAAGTTCCAGTCTGAATATTGTCACATGTTTAAAATATACGTAGCTTTATGAAAATGTGTCTGACTATTTTTGCATATAGTGATATTTTATATTTTTAAGTTTTAAAAATCTTGGCTGCAGAGAGTCCCATGAATGGATGGTGGGTGTGGTAGCACAACCGTGTGAATACAGTTAGTAACGCCGCTAACCCACACACCCGGAAGTTATTAAAATGGTATTTTATTATGTGTATTTTACCACAGTTTTAAAAAAATCTTATATGTAGTTTACTCGGTGTTGTGACCCATACCAAAGCCTGGGTATTTCGTTTTACTAAATTACACAAGCAGCAAATACTGGGAAAAGTACCTATCATAGAAAAAAGTTAACTCCCTAAAAAGCTAAGTGACTTTACATAATCATTAATATTTTGAAATTAATTTATTTATAGAGGACTCAAAACTAGTTCTAGGGCAGGGGCGCATGGGTGGCTCAGTGGGTTAAAGCCTCTACCTTCGGCTCAGGTCATGATCCCAGGGTCCTGGGATTGAGTCCCACATTGGGCTCTCTACTCAATGGGGAGCCTGTTTCCTCCTCTCTCTCTGCCTTGCCTCTCTGCCTACTTGTGATCTCTCTGTCAAATAAATAAATAAAATCTTAAAAAAAAAAAATCTTATTAAAAAAAAAACAACTAGTTCTAGGGCAGACTGTCCAAACCAAACTAGACTAAGAAAGAGAAGAGGGGCGCTTGGCCACCCGTCAGCATTATGGGAGATGAACTTCCTAATGCAGTGGGAGGTTCTATTAAAATCAGACTTCTGGCTCTCTCTTTCAGCTCTGTATTTCTTCTGCCAATTTCCTGCCCTTTCTGCCCACACTCCCTTTGTCAGACTTTCACCTCTAAATCTTTTAAGATCCATTTGAATGACTTCCCCTGGCCTCATCACCCCAGCCAGACGCGATTCCTGCCATCTAAACTGTGCAGCCACGTTCTCCATTTCCTCATCAGCTTATTTGTTTCATTGATCACACAGCTGTGGAGCCTCTCCAATGGGTTTCCCACTAATCTAGGTCCATAAGCCTACAGAGAGGAATAAGACATGGTCCCTGCCTTCAGTTCAAAATGTAATAAAGGGGACAAATAATCCCAAAGCAATGTGAGAAGTACTATAATAAAGGAGGAATGAGATTCTACAAAACCAGTCTGATGACATTTAACATACATTCCTTTTTACTAAGGTTACCTTGTGTATGTTTTCACCTTAAGAAATTACAGACCATTTTAGAACAAACCAGTTATTTTCTTTTTGCATCTTCTCTGCAGTCTGAAACAAGGTTTGCAGTATCATATGCTCGTACATGTCTTTTAAATAAACGAGTGGAGGTAGTTAGTCCACTGACTGCAGCTGACAAGCTAGATATGTTCTCCTTCAGTCTACTCTTCGAAATGGAGATTTAATGTTCTATACCTTTTCACTGGGAGATTTCCTAATGTTAAGCATTCTGAAAAATAGGAATAAACTCTCATGGTCCAGGGAAGCAGATCCTTTTTTTTTTTTTTTAAGATTTTATTTATTTATTTGACAGACAGAGATCACAAGTAGGCAAAGAGGCAGGCAGAGACAGAGGGGGAAGCAGGCTCCCCATTGAGTAGAGAGCCCGATGCGGGGCTCAATCCCAGGACCCTGGGATGATGACCTGAGCCGAAGGCAGAGGCTTAACCCACTGAGTCACCCAGGCGCCGGAGAAGCTGATCTTTTATGTTCTGTAGGAACATCCTCCCCCAACTGAAAGGCTAGAAGGGCTCTTGTTCCCCCTCCCCTCTGCCAGCGTATGGTGACCTTCTTTACTAAAGGAAACATTTCTTACTCCAGCTTTTGTCTTTTTTATTCTGGTAAGAATCAGATGAATATGTATTATTCTTTAAATTAAAAAAGAAAACTTAACATCAACTCTTTTCTTTAGTATTATACAACCAAGCATTCATTTGATCACCTTCCTGGGGCTGCTTCTCTGTCTCCTGCCCACTACTTTGTTCAAAACCCTCCACCGGGGGCACCTGGGTGGCTCAGTGGGTTAAGCCACTGCCTTCGGCTCAGGTCATGATCCCAGGGTCCTGGGATCGAGCCCCGTGTCGGGCTCTCTGCTCAGCAGGGAGCCTGCTTCCTCCTCTCTCTCTCTCTCTCTGCCTGCCTCTCTGCCTACTTGTGATCTGTCTCTGTCAAATAAATAAATAAAATTAAAAAAAAAACAAAAAACCTCCACCGTCCTCTTGCTGTTGCCTGTTTCCTTCCCCTCTCCCAGATCCTTCTTCTAAGCTGAATATAAAGAAGAGTCGTGTTTTTGCGTGCTTAAGGTACACTCATACTTCAGAGTTTAATTTTTTTATTTGCCCTTTCTTGCCCCTTTCATGCTTTTGATTAAATAATTCACAGTAACATATTTGGACTGACATTTCATTTACAGGATCTGAGTGATTTACAGAGAGTTTCCAGTAACTGTTCTTTGCTTTTTAGAGCTTAACTTTTCAATCCTAAGCAAATCTCACTGCACTTTTTTTTTTTCACAGCCCTTTTAAAACTATGACAGAGTCTGTGCTAATAGTTACAGTTAGTCAGAAGGATAGAGTGGAAAGAAATTAGATAATTCAGGGATTATCAGTGTTACAAGCTTAAACACGAGGAGGCTCCAAGCAAAAACATCCTAGTATGCCCTCCTCACCCTCCTTATTTTTGGCTAATTCCAAAGCAAGCACATCTCCAAAAAATATGGCTTCTTTGGTGAGCATCTCTGTAATTCATTAATAACCTGAGTATTATTTATACTTTGCACATTAAAACTGGTGCAAATAACATTTCTCAAGTTAATAGTTGAATACAATAAATATAGAGAACCATGCGTAGCATATATGAGCAACCAACTGGGTGGCTCAGTCGGTTAAGTGTCTGCTTTCGGCTCAGGTTGTGATCCCAAAGTCCTGGGATCAAGCCTCTCATCGGGCTTCCTGCTCAGTAGAGAGGCTGCTTCTCTCTCTCTCCCCATGCCTGCTGCTCTGCCTACTTGTGCTCTTTCAAATAAATAAATAAAATCTTTAAAAAAAAAAAAAAGCCGAAAGTGTTAAAAGTCTTATGTCCTCTGTATAGGACCTTTCTGTAGATTGCTTCTGAAGCCCAAGTAATTTAAATAAATTGTATAAATGCTCACACTTTATGTGTGATACATTTGAGATCATAATCCCCTGATTTCCATTCCAGCACTTTTCCCCAAATAACCCAATTTGATCTTTGCATTAATTTAATATCCTTCAAAAGCCATCCTTCAGGGGTGCCTGGGTGGCTCAGTGGGTTAAAGGCTCTGCCTTCGGCTCAGGTCATGATCTCAGGGTCCTGGGATCGAGCCCTGCGTCAGGCTCTCTGCTCAGCAGGAGCCTGCTTCCCCCCACCCCTGCCTACCTCTCTGCCTACTTGTGATCTCTGTCTGTCAAATAAATAAATAAACTTTTAAGAAATCTTTAAAAAAAAAAAAAAGCCATCCTTCAGATATTTCAAATCAAGAACTCTGAAGTTGAGTAGATAAGCAGTAACTAAGGGAAGCGGTAGGAGAGAGGAGGCGTCTTGAGGTTCGTAAGGGTGAGCATTTGACTGTCTTTTTACTTTTTGGCCACGATGCATATGAATTGCTTTCTTTAGAGAATCTCTCACCTTGTAGAAGCTGAAAGTGCCAGGCAGTCACTCTGCAGCCTTCTTTGCAACCAAGTCACTGATGCCATGACCCACCCTTGAGTTTGAATTAGTCCAGGAACACGAGTAGGCCAGGACTGACCGACTCCATTCTGATGAGCATGGGCAGGATAGCAGTGAATTTAGAGTCCAGCTCAGCAAGGTTGGCAGTGTTCACTGCAGGGTCTGTGCCCAGTGGCTGTGGCAGTGGTCCTTATGCTTCTAATTCAATGCCATGAATTTGGTTTCTCAGCCCTTCCAGAGATTTTATCCAATATCCTTCAGTAAATTCATTTCCTTAAATTAGCTAGATTTCGTTTCTGTTGCTTATATCCTTTTTTTCCTTCAAATTTTATTTTATTTTATTTTTTTCAGTGTTCCAAAATTCATCGTTTATGCAGCACACCCAGTGCTCCATGCAGTACGTGCCCTCCACAATACTCACACCATGCGTCCAGTTACTGTTAAGGGATATGGCACTGGCAGTCCATGGCAGATGGCGATTTGTCTTGTGAAAGCATTTTAAAAACACATTCTTAGAGCAAGAAGGATACATGTTGATTTGGGGATAAGGCAAAGGCTGCGCTGCATTTAACATTTTCATTCTTTTTCTCCACTTTTCCTGTATTTGTGGAATCTGTTACGAGACACAGCCCACCTTCCACTCTAGAAACTGAAAATGCCAAATACTTGCTTTCCCAATTTTTCTTACCAACTATAACAGTTATGTGACCTAAGTTCCACCAGTTAGTTGCACCCAACCCAGACTTGGAATCTGAAACCAGGGATGTAAAGATAAAGAAGCAGCTTTAGGACACCGTGCTGGGGTGGGAGGTGGCAGCTGCACTGAGCTGAGAGGCGCTGGTGGCCTTGATGGTACTGCTGTATCCAGAGTCCAAAGGCCCTGAGACTTCCTGCACCTTGTGGCCCGATGTGGGCGTTTCTAGCTCTGTAGCCTACAAACCCAGTCCTCTGGCCTTCTTGGAGCTTGTGTGAGCTACCTAATATATTTAATAAATTTGCCTGCTTAAATTATTCCAAGTTGGTTTCTGTTTCTTAAAATTAGGAACTCTGACTGCTGCCGTAGTCCCCAAAATTCCTCCCTGCGGGTGTCTCACATTTCTGTCCTCACCACCACCACAAAATTCATCAATGCAATACTTTCACAAAACAAATTTAAAGTCCATTTTAACAGGCTCCTTCTGCAATCAGTAGCTCCCTAATAGAGGAATTCTGTATGTAAGTCCATTTTCATCTGCTTCTTCTAACTTTCTGATGTTGGGCCCAACTCAAAGCATTAATTGTTAAAAGAAGTTAAGGAGTCTGGAACTGTCATAGAAATATCTGAAATTTTTAAAAATAGAGAAAACTTTTCATTGGTGCAATGAGTAAAGCTCAGATATTTGGATTAGCTATATAATTCTTGCATGAGTTAGATATATTTTTAAATGGTTGGAAAAAATCAAAAGAATAATATTTTACAATATGTGAAAATTATATGAAATTCAGATTTCAGTGTCCGTAAAGGTTTATCGGGACACGGTGATGCTCATTCATTTCCCGTGTCTGTTCTCAGCGACAGAATTAACGCGTTGAGTCAGAGATCACATCAAGGTAAAGATTAAAATACCTTTAGCCTTTTACAGAAAATGGTTTGCTGACCCCTGGCCTGTACTTTTCAGAATGATGCCTGAGGCCCAGGGTTTCTTCTGGTCTGGAATTCAGCCCCTTAAAGAGGATCCTGTCACCTGAATTTTACTGGAAGCCTCACTCAGCCCCAGCCAGAGCGGTGGCTGTCATTCCTGGCTGCAGAGCAGTATCCCCGGGGGAGCTTTTAAAAAGTTCCCATATGTCCTCCCGACCCAGATCATTTAAATGCGAATGCTGGAATCAGGGTCTAGGAAAAAGAATTCTCAGAAAGCTCCGTAGATGTTTCTGAGGTGCAGCAAAGCGGAGAGCCGTGTGTGGGAAAATGGAGCCGACTCAAAGGTGTCTGTGGGTGCGCCTCAAGCTGCAATGCTTCTCGAACTTTAATGTCAACTGAGGATCTTGTTAAAAGATAGGTTCCGTTTCATTCGAGCTGGGCTGAAGCCTGTGATGGGCTTCATGGCAGGTCCCCCTAAAATATGCCCCTCTGCAATATTAATTATTTGGGTTATTCTGAATCAAAGTTACTTAAGCAGCTGCTGTGCAAGGACACTCTGAGCTTCCTTTATCCCCCTGCAAGCGGGAAGTCTCCCCTGTGGCAGGTGGCCTCCCGGATCCGGAGGTAGAGACACATCCTTATCGCCCGAGACCGGGGATTCAGCACTGCGAGGCTGTAAAACACTCGCTCCTGCTTAACCAGTTGACTGGCCCAAGCCCACACTTGTCAGTTTCTCACCAATTTCTTGTTTCTTTGTCTGAAAGGTAAGTTTTGCTTTGGTCACTTCCTTTGAGTCTCATGTGCTTGTGAGCTCTCCTATGAAATCAAATTTGTCTCCCTCCTGTTACTCTGTCTGACGTCAACTTAATTATTAACCAGCCAAAGAACCCACAAAGGAAGAAAGGAAAAGTTTTCCTCCCTTTTGCCAAAGATCCCATATTTCAGAAAAACTGCGGATGCTGCTGGTCCATGAGTAGCAAAGTGAGGGCAAGGATTTCATTGAACTTGTGAGAACATATTCCATGACTTGTGTTCTTGCCCTGCTTAGCAATAAATCGTTGCACGACAGAGTTCTTTCTACTTCAGATGTGGTAGTCAGTTAGAGCCTCTGAGGACATGACAGGCTAGTTGAGATGCTGAAGGGTGGGAAGGGGCCAGATCTGAGAAGAATGGGGAAAGGACTTCCCAGGCAGACGGGAGCCTGTGTGACGGCCCTAAGGCAAGGAGGACTCACTTTTGAATGGTCTGTGTGACTACAGGGTGACAGAGGTTGATGCTGCTTTGTTTCGTTATGGGAAAGATAACAGTTTAAAAAGGAGATGCCTCCATTCATCCTTGCTGGATCTGTCACCTTGAAATCAGTCTCAGAAAATCAGAGGAATTCTGTCACCGGAAGAAGGAAAGCAATTCACAGGAAGATGTAAAGGTGTGTTTGCTGGGCCATACAGAAATGATGGGACAGAGAGGACTTGTAACGGACTTCGCTAGGTTCCTCTGTTCCACACCTAGTTCATATTACACTGTAGTCATAGATGGCGATAACTCTCCTCCTGAAGCAGGTCCTCTATGAAATTCTTTTGGGCAGTCAGGGAGAAGGTGAAAGTTTCTTGCTGAGTCTTTGGGGCCTTGATGGTGTTCAGCTCAAGAGTCATCTACAGGCCAAAATGGCACATCTTAGGACAGCTCATTCTTAATCCCTACAACAGCTTCAGCAGCAATGGTGGGCCATGCGGAAGTCTTTTCCGGAGTAGCAGGGGTGCCACGGGAAGCCTTCCTGCAGGACCATTAGTGGCCTTGACTTGGAAACCCACCTGTAGACAGCCAAATAGGGAGCCAGAGTAGAAACGGAGGAAAATGCTGGTCCGCACATGTTTACGAGGGAACACGTGTATCAACAGCTATGAAGCGTTCCTGGGAGGAATGGTGAGACAAAGCACAAGCGGACCTCCTGCAGCCTCCCCCTCCCCCACTCCTGGGGGGGAGATGTATGAAATTCTTCTAAAATCTCCCAACTATCTTAATGTTAATACCTTGCTAGAAGGGAAAACAACCTTAACTCCACAATGGCAGGACCTGTGGTATCTCCTAGGTATCTTGTAGGTTGGCCCTCGTTAGCCTATGAAAGTTCTTTTGAAACCTCCCTTTTCCTTACTTCCTCCAACTCCTCGGTATATAATCACTGCTCCCCAAGCCACAGACACACACACACACACACACACACACACACACACACACACGTGCAGCAGCTCTTACTGCCCAGGGGTCCTGTCCCTGTGCTTTAATGAAACCACCTTTTTGCACCAAAGACGTCTCAAGAATTCTTTCTTGGTCATGGGCTCTGGACCCCACCCCACTGAACCTCACCTATATTCCAAAACCCCATCAGTAGCATCAGAGTTCAAAAGATACATGGTTTTGTGAGTTTCTTGTTTTAGCCCTAGGGTTGTTGTAGGGTGTATAGAGGAGGAAGATGTGGAAACACCTAACAGGGAAAGGGGCTGGGGGAGGGAAGGTTTCCAGCAGAAGATGGCATTTAAACTAAAGTAAGCCAAGAGAAGGGAGGATAACAGAATAAGGCAGAGAACCACAAACAGTTCCTTAAAAGCTGGAGGAGAAGGTAGGAGGGGATTACAAAGAAGTGAAGTTAGAAAGATTGTTAATTACATAGTACATAACTGGACACTCATTCACTATGTGTTTGTATGTGATGGTCTTTATTGGTGTAGGAAGGTAATTCCCCCATAGAGCTCTCACATTTCTGCTTGCCTTCGGAGCAGAGGCACTGACAGCTTTAGTTCCAGACTTTCTCTTCAAGGATGCTTGTAGCCAAGGACCTTGGATGGCAGAAATGTCTCACTGGAACAGAAGGCAGGTTTATTTGCCATCCAGTACAGTAAAGGTTGGGTGTCTTAAGCTCAGAGAAACCTCAGGTGTGAGGCAAAACCTGTGTGTGTGGCATCTATCTGGACAGTTCCTGATTGCCATGGAGGGGTTGGGGGAGGGCAAGGGGGACCCACCTAAACATGAGGCTGGTGCTACTTGCTGTGCTGGGAGTAATAAAGTCCTTTGCCTCAGAGCTAGGAGTCTTCTGCCTTCTGTCAAAGCTCATGAAGCCGCGGTAGGCTAACCTTCCTAGCTCCTGACACTAGGTGTTTGCCTTTTGAGAAGCAACAATCAGTTTGGGGCCTGGCTCTTTTTTTTTTTAACATACCCTCATAGTTAATGAATCTTATCCATACTGGGCACTTGTGCAGTCCTAGCTGAGGTAGGATTTTAGGCCAATTGAATGCTCCATATCCCTTCTAATACGAAAATGCTCTAGCTTATGAAGCTTGTGGAGCCAAAAGGCAATGAAATACAAGGTGAATATTTCACTGATGTAAAAACAAATGCCGAGAAGCCAGGCAGTGCTTGGCTTACCAAATGGGATAGGCCATGACCTCAGACTGCAACAGGGAACACATCTACCAGGTTAAATTGAAAAATCGCCTGCTATCCAGGAAACAAGGACACAGTGGTGATGGTAGCCAAATGGGGTTTAGCCACGAGATGACTCTAGCAATGCCCACTTTGGGGATGGGCAATAAAATAGAACAAAAGTCTCTGTGGACCTTATATTATCTTCTCAAGTATGTACTTTAAATTATCAAAACCGTAGCCTCAACAGAGTAAGTTAATGCAATTAAGCAATAGAAGCAAGTGTTAACTTTGAGAAACTTCAGTCTTTAACTTGACTGAGTGGGATTACATTCTACTAATTTCAGAAACAAGCTGTTTAAACATTCTAGGTGGGGGCATCTGGCTGGCTCAGTTGGAAGAGGATGCAGCTCTTGGTCTTGGGGTCATGGGTTCAAGCCCCATGTTGGGTATAGAGATTACTTAAATAAATAAACTTAAAAAAAAATAAACATTTTAGCTTATAAAATAGGAGATCACTGTAAAGTGAACTTTTTGGTCATTCATCTTTGAGACTATCTTTAACCACTCAAAACCTCTTCAGAACATCCAAGTCTAAATAATGGGATGGAATGAATAAAGATGTGTTTTATGTGACAATATAATGTTTTCTTGGTGAGCCAGTGAATTTTTTTTAATTCTTTAATAATTAATATTTGTCAGTAAGACAGACATTAGAGAAGGATCAAAGGGAATATATTTCTGTGTCTCTGGAGATGCACTTTATCCAAATATGGCATTATCTGAAAAATAAAAAGTACTTGTTATATAACGTGTAATACATTTCATAGTTCCAGAATAACCCTGAAGGCAGAGAGGATGAGTACTGCTTCACAGATGTAGAAAGGAAGGCTTAGCAACATTAAATGACTAAGCACATGACACTAGTCAATGGCAGAAGCAGAACTTGAATCCAAGTGCAATGGACTAAATGTTTGTGGCCCCCTCCCGAATTCCTATATTGCACCCTAATCACAGTGTGATGGTGTGGAGAGCTGGGGCCTTTGGGAGGTAATTAAGTCATGAGGGTGGAGTCCTCATAAATGGGATTAGTGCCCTTAGAAGAGGCCAGAGAGCCCGCTAGCGCTTTCTGCTGTGTGACACGTGGCAAGAAAACAGCCCTCTCTAAACCAGGGAGAAGACATTCGTCAATAACCCGACCATGCAGGCACCCCGATCTCAGACTTCCAGCCTCCAGAACTGCGAGAAATACATGTTGTTTAAGCTACCCATTTGTTGTGATTTGTTATAACAACCTGAACTAAAATACCTGTGTCTTCTGTTTTTAAGGCTAGTATGTTTAAGTAAGACCACCCCTCTTTTGGCCTCCACATCTCCAAGTAGAAGGCTGAAAAGAGAGCTTGGAGATCTCCAGCTAAGCAAACCTGTTCCCTGGTCTTCACATCCCTATTGATAGAAGCAAAGAGGAGTCCCCAGAACCCCAAGTGCTCTTAGCAAAGTCCCCAACCTTTCTCAGATTTAACACTCATGGCCTCACCACCGCTGGAGACCGTGAAGACTAATCTCATTCTGTTCCTTATCCCTGTTTACTTGGGCTACCTCAGGAAGCCAAGAGTTCTGAGAGGGAATCAAACCAAGAAACGGACTCAACTACAGAGTCAGAAGCGATGGCTACCAGAAGCGATAGTGGTGGGGGGATGGGTCAAATAGGTGATGGGGGTTAAAGAGTATACTTACCATGATGAAAAAATAATAAAATTAAAATAATGGGGGGGAAAAGAAGCCAGGAGTTGTGGGTTGCCCCACATATCTCTGTGAGCAGTGGTCAATCTCCTGACCGGCACTTCCTGTTCACTCCCAACCTGCAGCTTTATGTTTCTCCATTGCACTTACCCACTTACAACCCCCTGCCTCTACCCACTCAAATTCCACTGAAGTCTAAACTTTATGAGGCAGGGGTTGTTTCTGTCACTGTACTGCCAAGCAAATGGAACAGTGCCACAAAAATCTGCTGAATGAATGTGTTTCTTCCTCTATAGGTATGTACAAAGGAAAAGTGTAAAGTACTTTCTATTCTTACTGTATATGTCCAGCAAAATGTAACTCCTTATTATCCTCTTCCATTTAGTCTACAACAACAAATGTGCCATGGGAAACTCTAGGTTTGTGAGCCTTTGCCCAAGGGCACAGCTACCAGTCTCGAGAGGAATGAGGTAAGCTTTACCACGACTTCTGGAAAAATACATCCTACATCCCAGTATTTATTCGATCATCAAATGAATATTTTCTGAGTGCCTAATTAACGCCAGACTCCATGCTAGGAACGGAATGGATAAAGCGATGAATAAACAGATAACATCAAAGAGGATTAGGGAGTGACAAACACTGTGGAGGGAAAGGACACCGGGTATGGTGTTGCAGGATGGATGTCTCCAACTCAGGAGAAAGGTCAGGGCCAGAAATAGAAATGTGGGAGTCATAAGAATACAGAGGAGATTTTCAAGCCCTATAACAGTTGAAGACCAGCAATCTGTCTCATTGAGATCACCTAAAAACTAAGTATAAATGATGAGAAGTGGGCCATCTTATAGAAACAGGATGTGATTTTACAGTTAATGATGTTTATCATTCAATTCAATACTTATTTGCTGATGGTTTACTGGAGTAATATGTTCATCACATTTTATAAGTAATATGCTATCTTATTTTTACAAATGAAGGTTTTTTTGTTTTTTTTTCTTTGCATCTGCTGGCTTCCTGAGGGAGGGGGTACTCTCTCATATCTGTTCTCAGTCTAGTGCGGTAGGGCTGAACTTTTGGTTTGGAATGTGGTAAGTTCTCTTTTGGGTTGAGCTTAACTTTCACTGCTCTTAAGCTATCTCTTTTAAATCTCTTTTAAAACTATCTCTACTGGAAAGACCCTATATCACGGGATACCTGGGTGGCTCAGTGGGTTAAGCCTCTGCCTTCAGCTCAGGTCATGGTCTCAGGGTCCTGGGATCGAGCCCCACATCGCATTGGGCTCTCTGCTCAGCAGGGAGCCTGCTTCCCCTTCTCTCTGCCTACCTCTCTGCCTACTTGTGATCTCTGTCTGTCAAATAAATAAAATCTTTTAAAAAACTCTGTTGTAGTCCCATGAGAGTAAAAAAGGTAAGTAATATCTCAGCATCATTATGAAAATAGCTTTGAGCTTGTGGATCCCCGAAAAAGACCTGAATACTCAGGAGTTCCCCAGGCCACCCTTTCAGAATTACTAATTTAGTCTAAAAAAGAAAAAGCATGTATTTGCATGCTAATTACCATAACATTTAAATTAGATCTATGTTTATTGTGTATCTCATCATCATAAAGTTGAATTTCTTTTTGAGTCTGTTCACTTAAAAGAAACAAAGAGCATTTCTGCAATATTTAAAGGTTTATTTCAATGTTCCAGAATTGTTGGTTACTAACCTTGATATCATTAATGTTGGCTATGGAAATTACGTTTATTAGACTCTGTTTTGTAGAAAACCATGTGTATTCATGTGACGTGGCAAACTATGTTTGTCATAGGAGATGGATATTACCCTCTACCATTAAACTTGTGAAAACTAACCTACTAGTTGTGGCTTAACTCATCTAGTTCCAAGTAATTCAAGCAGAGTAAACGATTACGCAGATGCACTTAGGACACTAGAGGCATTCTTCCTTGTAAAGAGTTATTTTTTTAGTATAACAAACACATCGCTGTTACAGATTAACTTTGAAGCACATGGAGCACCTCGGTTTCCCATGCCACCCTGCATCACCTCTCTGTCCCACTGACTAAGAGCCTGGGGCAAATGAAAAGTTGTAACTCCTTCATCAAAGAAGTTAAATCTCCAAAATAGTGATTCTTTTGTTTCTGCTCTAACTCAATCGTGTTGTTTGTATTTAATACAATTATACTTTTTTTTCTTTTTACATAAAGGACAAAATGCCATCAGTTGCTTGTCTTGACTTAGAAACAAGTATTCACAATCAAGAATAGTTACCCTTTCTCTTCCTCCTCCTGTAAAATAATATGACCACCACCACAAACCCCCATGCCAACCTCCTTCCACATTTTATTATTGTGACTCAGGGCCTCTTGTTTGATATTTATCATCAAAATCATTTCAGTTTATCTCAATTTTGCTCATGAAATTTTTGCAGAGGCAACAGACATTGGTGAGAGGAGGTGTCTGCAGTTTTTGTGGTCTATTACAATGATCTACAACAACTTTCTTCAAAATATGGCTCTCAGGCCATCAGCATCAGCATCTCCTTATCCTGCTGAAAATGCAGATTCTGGGACCCAAAGGAGAGCCTACTCCATGAGTCAGTCTGGAGACAGAGCTTGGGATTCTCTAAGCACAAGAAACTGACAATCTCTGGTCTAGAGTAGATCTTATATCAACTAATCTCCTTTACTGATGTTTTTTTACTTCAGACAGATTTCCTTTAAACTATCCCAGAACGATACTTCCTGAAACTCTCTCAACCCCAGAAACTCTCCACAAGTTTACTTATAAATAAGCCCCCGTCAACTGAGCGGGAATCCTACCGTAACAACTTACTTTTTGGGGGAAAGTGCTTTTTCTCCGTGTGAACAAGGAGACTCAGTGTGACCCAGGAGCTCCTGCCACTATCAGGAACAGATTCTTTGATTTGGGTGTGAGTAGAAGACGTGTATGCACCACTGAAATGCCTCTTTTGAACTCTCAGTAAACTGACTTGATTGCTTCTTTCCACAAGGCAGTCGGATTCACGCTTTTCATTTATCTCCTCCAGGAGACAGCGTTTGCCTTCTTTGAGCTTTCTAATTATTTCACTGGTTCTTCTCTTGGAAGTCATTATGCTGACAAACTAAACATCAAGTGATTCTTACTGTCCTGCAAACAAAGGACAAAGTACTATCAGTGACTGCTTGACCTCGCAGCCAATACTCATAGTCGGTTCCTCCTTCCCCTCCTGGAAAATACCACCCCCACTGCACCCCTCACCCCACATCTCACTCCATTTTATTATTGTTTCCGAAGGTCTTTTTTTTGTTTGATGTTTCTTCAGCGGAAAATCATCGTGAAAAGAGGATTTTACATTGAACTACATAAAAAATTAATGAGGTACCATATGTTGGCTAATTGAATTTAAATACATAAAAAAAGGGGGGAAAAGAGGATTGCAGTAAAAGAATATATTTCGGTTTTGAAACAAATACTATGTGTTGATTCTTGCTTTAAGGGACTCTTGTTTCTTTTCATTATAAAATAAAACATATTAATTGTAGAAAATTAAGAGAATGCAGAAAAGCATAAGGTAGACAAGCTAAAATCACTCTTGATCCAGAGACAACCAAATTAACATTTTGGATGTTTCTTTCCCAATAAATATCCAAAGGGATCTTATTATAAAAAGTACAGAAAGAGACATTAAATGGACTATGGCAGAACAGAAACTTAAAATCTTGAAGTATTGTTAAATATTTAGGAAGATTTTGCTTCTTAGGTCTATCAATTTGTCTTTTCAGACACGTGAAATACTTAAAAATCAAATATGTTAAATTTACAAAAGAAGTTCAAAATATTTAAATATTTAAAGTATTAAATAAGTTTGTAAGTGGACTGATTACTTAAAGGTGTTCAGTCTTCTCAATTTGGGTTAACTGAACATTAATTTCAGCGCCTTCCATTCAGGTCATGATCCCAGGGTCCCGAGATTGAATCCAGATGTCAATCTCAGGATCCCTGTTTACTGGGAACCCTGCTTCTCCCTCTCCCACTGCTTGCATTCCCTCTCTTGCTGTGTATCTCTCAGTCAAATAAATAAAATCTTAAAATATATATATATATATATATATATATATATACACACATACATATAAAATCAACTTTAATTTGAAATCCAAGTAACTATAAATGGTCCTTTTTACAAAGGCTCCTCTCAGACATTAAAAAAAATCTCACATTAACATTTTATATAGATGAACAGAACTTTCTCTTAAGTGACTATGGTAGACTACATTATTTAGACATAAATCCCAGTGAAAACTACTAAAAATTCTGGGGAAAGTTTTTTTTTTTTTAATTTGTTAATAATGAAATGATAAGAGAGTTAGAAAATAGCAGGTCCAAAATGAAGGAAAGCAAGAACAAGGACGTAGAGAGGTAGACAGAACCTGCGCTTGCCTGAGGACATCTTCTGATCCTGGAGGTTAAAGAAGTCATTTTGCTAGCCTAGAGGACAAGGGACAGAAAAATCAAAGCCCAAGCCTATGCATAGTGGAGAGTCTAAAGTAGACCTTTTCCATAGTAAGTTGGCGTCCAAAGGGTTACCCCCTGAGGGTGAGAGTGAAGACACAGTAAACTCACATTCCATCACGTACTTGCTGGAAGAATGTTGCTTTAGCATTAAGTGTAGCTCTGGGGGAAAACCCCTCCATGAAAAGTTGTAAGTGCTTCCTGACTCTCACATGGATTTTCAACCCAAATTCACAACTAGGGCAGTTGCAAGAAATACCAAAGTGGAAAACAAGAATGGGGTAAGAAATAGCAAGCTGAGGAGCAAGGTGGTAGCAAAAATTTAGCTAAGGGGGTTCCAGGCTGGGAAGACATCCAAGTAACTGACAGAAGCAAACTCAAGTCTTTTCTGGAAGAATTTCACCCTTGCCATCTGGGACTCCCCAACTTTCAAAGACAACAAATAGCACACAGCCAAGGATAACCAGTCAAGCACAAAGGTAGATGAGGCATCATAAAGTGAGAACAGCAGCAACAAAACCATGAAATCTACATATGTGAGAAGCATCAGATGAATTATAGAACAATTACACATACAACATCTAAAAAAACAAGAAAATAAGTTTGCAGCTATGTTCAGGAAACAAGAAGCCAAAAAGAATTTCTAGAAATAAAAAAATGTTATTAAGCAACATTTAATATAGGCTTAGCAGCAAATATGGATTCAGATGAAGAGATAATTAGAGGCCCGGGGAATAAATCAGAAGCCATTATCCTGAATGCAGCATAGAAGGACAAAAAAGACAAAAGGTATGAAAAAGCAAAATATGTGGAGGACACAGTGAGGAGGTCAAACCTACATGAAATGGGAAATCCAGAGGACAAAAGTGAGGCAAAGACAAGACATAAAAAGATGTTTGAGAAATATTCAGAACTGACAAATGATACCACTTCATAGACTCAAGAAGCTCAAAGAAAAACACTCAAGATTTTTTTTTTGTTAAATCCATGCTTAAAGTGGAATTTGAAAAAAATTAAAAGGAAATCTTAAAAGTCATGAGAAAATAAAAGGACAGTTGAACTAACAGCTGACCTCTCAAAAAGGAACAATAGAAGCCACAAAACAGAGAAATTATATTTTCAATGTGGTAAAGAAGTTATACAGATGGTAAGTCAGCACACAAAGAGATGCTCAGTCTCATTGATTATTAGGGAGATGTAAATCAATACTGCAGTGAGATACTGCCTATCATTAGAATGGCTGAAATTGAAAAGATTGACCAAATCAAGTGATGAAGATGTGGAGGAACTGGAACTCTCGGACACTAATGGTTAGGATGTAGAGTGGTACAACTACTTTGGAAAACAGTGCAGTAGTTAAAAAGTTAAACATATGTCTGCCCTATGTTCTACTCCTAGTATTTACCCAACAAAAGTGAAAGTCTCTATACAAGTGTATGAAGAAACTATCTGTACACAAGAAAATTTAGATATGAATGTTCATCACAGCTTTATTTTTATGAGCCAAGAAGTTCTACCAACCCAAATGTCCATCAACAGCTGAATGGATAAATTATGGTATATCCACACAATGGATACTACTCAGTTATAAAAAAGGAACATATTATTTTTTTAAGATTTTATTTTTATTTATTTGACAGACAGATCATAAGTAGGCAGAAAAGCAGGCAGAGAGAGAGGAGGAAGCAGGCTCCCGGCCAAGCAGAGAGCCCGGATGCGGGGCTCGATCCCAGGACTCTGGGATCATGACCTGAGCTGAAGGCAGAGGCTTTAACCCACTGAGCCACCCAGGCGCCCCTAATAAATATTTTTTGAATGAATGAAAAGTATATTACTTATAAATATTGACTCCTATTCACTTACTATGATATCATGAGAATTTTTCATGCCATCACATACAGGTCATTCATAATAAAAATGAAATATTTTAAGACAGTGTGGTAGTCTTTCACATGGAATTAAAATAATATATTTGATTAGTCCATTTATTGTTAGACTTGTAGGTTGTTTACACTTCGAACAGTACACTTTGAAATGTATTGAAGCACAAAAATCACACAAACACTGTTTTAGGAAACCCATCAGAGTCATCAGTTGGTCATTCCTGGATACACAAAAGGAGAAGAGGCGTATTTCAACATTCTCTGGCTAACACATAAATCTTACATGTATTTGTACTTGCAGAAGATAGTCCCTGAACAAAAGGAAATGGTTTAAGGGAGAATGGAATTTGAACCCTTTACCCCCTCCCCCTGTCCAAAGCCCAAGGAAGACTAGAATTTAATGCAAGATGGTAAAGAATTGTCTCAGGCAGATAATGCCATAGGAATGCTGTGAAACTCAACAGCATACAACAATAAACATTTATTCTCATGCTCAGTAGTGGATTGAGCTGGGCTGGGCTCACCTGAGAACTTGGCTTCTGGCTTAAAGGTCTGACTGGGCTTGGCTCCGCGGTGAAGGTTGAGCTTAGATCTGTTCCCAAAATTTTAGAACTGGGAAAAACAAAGAAATCTATTTTCCTCTAATCCAACATGTCAGAAGGGATCTACATCTCCTATCCTTATTTTGTTCCTAGGAATTTTAATAATATAATTTTTTTTAAGGTAAAGGATAGAAGAAAACAATTTTTTCTTGAACTACAGTTTCATTTTGCCACCTCTGGCAGGCATAGCATTTCCATTTTCCATTTCTGTTTCCTGACTCCCTGGAAAACCCTTGGTATTAAGCATATCTTTCACAGTAAAATTGGAGTTCAAGCTCATATAATGTAGTAACCCAATAAAAAGCAATGAACAACTGACCTTCTTAAATGTATAAATCCAGTAATCTTTGCTCACAAACATAAAAGAAAATATACAACCTAGCAGAAAATGAACACTTGGTACTCAAATGATTTAAGTAAACTTTCTCTTTAGACAAGATGTCAGTTGCAGACATGAAAAGAGAAAAGATGCCTTTTCAACTTTGGATCTAGCAAGTTTAAACTGAAAGAAGACAGAATATTTTACGTACTCAATTAACACTAAAGAACTGAATTGGCCTCAATAAGCCTAACTCTATTCCAATCACCAATTAATTATCCAGTGTAGTGGAAACAAAATATGGTTTTACTTAAATAGTTTAAATACATTATTTTTTGTCATCAGTTTCAACTTACTTTTACTAGAGATACTAGTTTGTCAGAATTTAGACTTTGTGAATTATATCCCTTCTAACACTTCTACTGTTATCCTCTCTAGGGGATGAAATAAAATTGGGACATGACTAAAGGAAAAGAAAACAAGGTACATTTTTATATGACACACAAAATAACTGTATGACCTTAGTTAAGTCACCTTCTCTGGGCACTCAGTTTCCTTAAATGTTAAGTGGAAATAATACCCAACTCTCAGAGTGTCACAAGGATTAAATGACCTAATATAGCCAATCCTTAATAAATGGTAACCTTTTTTAAAGATTTGTTTATTTATTTGAGAGATAGCACAAGCAGGGGCAGGAGCAGAGGGAGAGGGAGAGAGAGAATCTCAAGCAGACTCCCCACAGAGCTCAGAGCCTGACGAGGGGCTTGATCTCACAACCCTGAGATCATGACCTGAGCTGAAACCAAGAGTCAGAAGCTTAACCAGCAGAGCCACCCAGATGCTCCAAATGGTAACTTTAATACATCAGTTAGGCACTGTGAAATAAAGGATTTGGGCAATTGGAGAAATAGTATTTCTTGTCCCTCCAGTTATGTTTTGTTTTGTTTTGTTTGTCCCTCTAGTTATTGATCTGTTTACTTGCTATGTAGCCAGAATCAGCTACGTAATTTGTGGGGCCTAGTGAAAAATGAAATTGTAGGGCTCCTTACTGAAAATTTCAAGATGGCAATAGTAGAGCATTAAAGCAAGTGTGGAGCTCTTTTAAGCATAGGATCCCTGTGTTAGTGCAGAGGTCACATGCCTATGAAACTGACTCTGTGTATGATATAGTAACAGGATGATTTCTATGATTTATTCACCCAGTTTTAGTCTTTTAAATGGTGATAAGTGGGCACCTGGGTGGCTCAGTGGGTTGAGCCTCTGCCTTTGGCTCAGGTCGTGGTCTCGGGGTCCTGGGATCAAGTCCCGTATAGGGCTCTCTGTTCGGCAGGGGGCCTGGCTCTGCCTGCGTGTGGTCTCTCTGTCAAATAAATAAATAAAATCTTTAAAAAAATAAAATAAATGGCGATAAGTAATGTGCCTAACCTATGGTTTTTTAAAGGGCTTTGAGTGGCGCCTGGCTGGTTCAGTTGATGGAGCACGTGACTCTTGATCTCAGGGTTGTAAGTTCAAGCCCCACAATGGGTGTAGAGATAACTTTAAAAAAAAACAAAATCTTAAAAAGCCCACAAAAATTAAGGAAAGGGTTTTGAAAATATTAAGCATACACAGAGAGAATATCTTCATTATTCATGAATTCCATATTAGCAAATGTGTCTACTCATAAAAATTTGTTATCTCAAAATCAATACTTGTGACATTTTCATTCTCATTCCCAGAAATTTGCAGAGCAGCAAAAATTTTAGTCTCCTTGAGGTGCATATTCCCAGCTAAGGTCCAACAAGGGAACACTCTGCCTTCTTGCTTCAGCTCTCATACTATAAACAAGTGTCCTTTTCCTCATGTATTCAGTGTCATTATATTTTAGGATGCTCCCCTACCCCAGTTGAGTGCCAAAGTGTTGTCTGGTGCTCTGAACAGCGAGAAGGCTATAATGAGCCTTATATGTGTTAGATAAACTTTGTTCAGGTGTGACTTATAGTGCTTTTGGTTGTGAGTTCAATGTTAATGAATCAACAGTATGTATTAAATACTGTGTCTTTAAACAGATACATACCTAAAATAAGGTTACATATTGATTGGTTGACAAAAATGTTATGACCAGAGGCTCACAAGAATCTAACCCTCTTTTTCCCCTAGGAACAGTGACTGAATATTTGATCATTCAGTGTTTGGGGCCACTTTATAGAGCATAACTACTGCAATAACAAGAACCAACAGTGCAAATAGAGAAAATATACTACTGTTCCTACAGGTATGTTATCATAAATTACCTTTACTGTACAGCAACCGGAAGCCTATTTGAAGTCCACTGGTTTGCATCAGCCTACTGGAACGTTACCCTGGTGATGGAACATTATGATCTAAGCCATTCCAATGTTGTTCTATTCAAAGAACCCTAATTAAGAGAAACGTTAGAGTTAGAGAGACCGTTTACTTATCAGCTATATATCCTTGAATAAATTACTCAATCTCTCTTAATATCAGTTTCTTCATCTGAGATAAAGATATCAATTTCGTGAAGTTGCATGTTTGTGTGTGGGTGGTAGGAGGCAGGATGGGGCTGGAATTAAATGAGATATGCATGTAAATTAAATGAGAAATACATTTTTACATTGTGCCTGCTATTGATTTATTACATGTACTGATATTTCTTGAACATGTACTCGGTGCTTGGTATTGTTCTGGGTAGTGAGGACAAATGGGTACCTACCCCCACGAAGCTTAGAGTTTAAAGGTCTAAGGTAGGTATTTAGTAAATCATAGCTATTCTTACTGATTTTTTTAACCTCATATTTTACTTGGGAATTATTTTATTCATTTATCATTTTTTCTCAGAAGAGGAAGCCTCCCACAAAAACAGGTCTTCAGAAATACAAAAGTCATAATTTCTTTCTCTCTTTACAGGACTTTGTGATAGAAGAAATAAGATTGGTACTGAAGAAAGCAGTTCACAATGCCAGAGAAATGAATTCCCTAAGGAACTATAGGAAGGGTAGGCAAAAAAAGACCACCTGACTCTGCTGAGACTGGGGTAAAACAAACAAACAAACAAACAAACAAACAAGAAAACTCTTGAGGCTAATGCAGGTGGTTGCTGAGGATGAGAAGGTATTTTGCCACTGCTGGCTTTTTGTTTTTTAGCAAAGTTCCCAGATAATCCAAAAGGCTTCTAAGAGACCTAATTTGTTGGGCACAACTCTGGCATCTGAGGGCCAGGAGCTATATTCAAACCCTCTTACAGTGCAAGCTGGAGGAAGATTTCTCCCTCTGTGGGCTTCAGTGTCCTTAGCTGTGAAATGGGCTTCTATCACTACAGAGCTATTGTGAGGATTAAATGAGATAACACATGAAGGGACTTGGAAACCATAAAGTATATAAAGCAAATGTTGGGGAGGAGAAATTTTTCTCTACCCTCAAGCTTTTTCTGGCTGGTATAAGAATTAAATTAACATGAGACAGATAACAGGAAAGAATCAATCTAATTTGTATATACAGAGGTCCTACAGATATGGCTAAGGCAGGCAGCTTTTTTTTTTAACAGAGAAACAATAAATTAGTGAGGAATTGACAGGATAAAGAAAACTTATGTTTGGGAACTTCAACTAGTAAGGAATTCTAAACAGAATTCGGATGGGAGCTGTCAGTTAATAAAAGTAACAAGGTTTGTTTATATAGGCTTCGTCACCCTAAATTCTCTATCTGTGATGATAAGGATGTCTCTCTACCTTCTGATACAGGGAGGGTACCTTTCACATGGGAGGTTAGTTTCTTGCTCTCTGGGGACTAAGGAGAGTCAGTGTATCTCTCCTTTTTGCACTGGCTGTTTCTTAAGTAACTTTAATTCAAAATAATCAAGATGCCAACATAGCATATTTTGGAGTAGCCTACCCTGAGCCTTACCCTGAGCGTTATGAGTTTTTCTAAAATGTACATTGGTTAGATAGATTATTAATTCAGAAAGTTATGTGTGTTGTATCCAAGAGTAATTCTCCATCATTATTTTACAATGCAATTATTTGTCACATAAGAAAGCCAATTTGAGTAATTCTTAAGCCAACGATTTTTCTCTCACTCAGAGGTTACTCTCCCAGGAGAGAGTTCAGGCTCCATGTTAAGGTATCCTATTCCCATCTCCCTGGATTTACTCTGGCTTGCTACCATGAGTTTAGGGTAGGCCACCACAGGATGTAATGTTTTAGCATGAGCATTATTTTGAACTCCAATCAATCAATGCACATAAGCATGAAGGCATACCCAATGCTATAGGGTATAACTGGCATGAGAAATATGCTATAGGTTGTATCTGAGAGGCAAAAGCTGTCCTAGAATGCTTGTAGCAATGCCATTATTTTAAGGCAGTATCGATGTAAAGGTTTGTTAAAATTAGGTAAGCCTAGGGCTGGGGTGTTGACAATATTAATTCCCAGGCTTTAAAGGATGGTAATGTCTCTGAAGGCCAGGAAATGGGCTCTGGGGTGGTCTCTGGGAGAAGAGCATACAGAGGTTTAACAAAGTCTACAGAATCAGGAATCCATTGGCTGCAGTAGCCAACTACCCCCCAAAATGTACATAATAGCCACTTACTTGTCTGGGGGAGAGGGATGAACAAAAGTGACTCCAGGTGTTTTGGAGCCAGCTTTCCAATGCCCTGAGATCTCTCCTGTCCTACGTAGTGAACAGTTGTTTGCACCCACTGCAGTTTAAATGTGGAGGCTTTATGGCCTCATTCAGTCAGTGCCTTTAGGAGGATGAGGGAATCTATAAGAGCTCCCTGCTTGGTTTGATTATCCCCTGATTAAAATCAGAGGTGACAGGTAGAGATAAATCCTCTGAGCAGATGGTAGAGAAAGTCACATGAGTGTCAATTTAAAAATCCCATTCCTGGGGGGCCTGGGTGGCTCAGTGGGTTAAGCCTCTCCTTTGGCTCAGGTCATGATCTCAGGGTCCTGGGATCAAGCCCGGAATCTGGCTCTCTGCTCAGTGGGGAGCCTGCTTCCCCCTCTCTCTCTGCCTGCCTCTCTGCCTACTTGTGATCTCTGTCTGTCACATAAATAAATAAAATCTTAAAAAAAAAATCCCATTCCTGATCCTCTATTTTAAAAGTTAATGGTGGGCTTTGGGGTGTGACTGAGGCCTGGATGCCACTGTCATTTAAGGGCAAATTGTCCCTCAGGAGAAAAACAAATTCTCTCAGGGTGATGGGGCTTAGGGACATTGCTTCTTAAACTTTACTTTTTCATAAGTACAGGACAATTTCTCTTCCAGTGACCTGGATTCTTGCAATATCTATGATTGCCTGGAGGCGAACAGGGAGAACTCTGAATGGGCCTTGAATTACTCTCAGTCACGCTCTCACCTTTCCAAAGACTCAAGTTGCAAAGCAAGAATTGTTGCTATGAGTTCTTTTTTAATCCTGCTTTCCTGCTCTTTTCAAAGAATTAAGTAGCTGCCTCCGTTTTTATGCCTAGTGGCTGCCCTGACCAACCGACCATGTGGATTTGTTATTTGATATCAGGGAGAAAATATCCCACTAAAGCAGAAATTAAAGGTTTCTATGTCCCAGGGCTTCTGGATTTAATAAAGTCTGCCTTTGAAAAGTTTATATAAAACATGCAACAAAGGCTTTTATGCGCTCTTCTTTCTAAGTACATGGTTCAAACTCAGACCAATTTACTTTGAGGGAGAACACCTCTAACAGAGCTCCCATGCGAGCCTCCAGCTGAGCTGTTTCCTGGTATATGTGCAGGACAGCCTGGGAAAGGCTCAGACCATCCGCTTCCTCTGTGAGGGGGTTTTCTCCAGGGACCATCTAGCTTGTCTCCTCACCATCCTATAATCCTGGGTAGGAAGAACCCCCCCTTCATAGCTGGTCTAGGTCTCTGTGAGTGGGGTTGTAAATAACCACTAATCTTTCTAACTCATCTCTAAATTTGGTAGGATGTAGAGAACAAAGGCAAAAGAAAAAATTAAATTTCCTTCCGACTTACAGCCCATTGACAAGTCCTTGAGAGTGACCCACATTCCTCTAGGGACTCAACTGCCTCCTTAATACTTTGATCAGGGCAAAAGGCAGCCTTAGCTTAGCATTAGCACAAACTGCGGATCCTATTGGTCTTCTTTAACATATGGAAATCCCTTTGGAAACTTCCTTTATCTCTCCCCCCAACCCCAAGATACATGTTAGAAATCATCCTCCAAGCATATGGCCCACTGATATACACCTGAAGGGTCTCACGACTAAGGTTTTACTAGACAGTAGTAAATGACCTTGTCCTAACAACAGCAAGCCCCTCAAGGTGCTGGAAACCTTGCCCCCAAATTCCTTAGAGACTTCACCATCCCTACACCCCCTCCCAGCTTGAGAGTTACGATCAGCCACTCCTCATGACCCCAGTGCTGCTCTCTCTGCATGCTAGTCCTGTTCCCGAGCTTTCATAAAACCACCCCTTTTGCACCAAAGACACCTCAAGATTTCTTTCTTGACTGTTCACTACTGAACCCCAACATTTTCATATCACTCCAAGGGCAGAAGTAAAAGGATTTTATAATTTAAAAGATCTGCTGCTGTCCTGGGGACATGAATTCTTTGCCCTGGAGGTCCAGGATATGTGCACAAAGGACCTGGTACAGGAATGCCTGAAACCGGCAGAGCTTGATTCCGAGCCCTGGGAAGTAGGAGGAGTTGAATTGTAAGCATAGCGAAGCAAGCCCTGTTGCTCTCCCTGGGCACTTTTGCTAAATTCACTTCCTGACATTCAGTATTTACATAAGGAAACTGTATTTCCAGGACAATTTCTCATATTTTCAGAATACCTCATCATCAGTCTCTAAACTGTGACCAACAGAATCCTTTGAATTGGGAAACCAGGGAGCCTTCTTTAACCTGTGGATGATAGACATTAGAGACTTACAGCAGCTCGTCATGCTTTCATGAGACAACCAGGTCAGCAGAAAGTAGTACAGTGGTAGAATTTTAAGAAGCTTGCAAGGTTTTCGTTAAGGCTGGTGTGATTTGCCCAGTGAAGTGGATGCCCCGATCATTAGAGATCATAGGTGTACCCCAAGTGGGAAGTACATTTTTTAAACAGTTTTTGTTTTTTTAAACCCATTGTAAAGGCATCAGACTTGCCATGGGGAGAGGCTTTAACCCACCTGGAAAAACATACAAAGAGTAACAAGAACATATTGATCGCCCAGATGAAGTGGCAGATGAATGAAGTCCAGCTGTAGGTGCTCGGAGGGTCCAAAGGGAAGATAACTGAGGCCTCTGGAGACAAAACCAATTTTTTTAGGATTATGGACCTGACAAGTCGCACATTGCTCATGGACTGTTCTTGCAATTTTATACAAGTCTCCCCATCAACGTCTATAGTTTGAGTCATCTTAAATGCCTCATGGTGGGTAAAGGAATGCAAACCCCCCTCCAAAAAAATGGGATTTGCCAGGGACCTGGGAAAAACCCAGCAGCTGTCTTGGTTTTCCCATAGCCCTGACTGTTTAATTTACAACCATTGTTCAATTTCGCAGATTCAGGAGGGGACTGTTGCTATGTTACAAGGACATCAGGATGGGAAGAGTCTCTCTGTGAGGAGCCATTGTTTGTAGAAGCAGAATGTACTTGTCACATGTGCCCAAATCTTACAAATACAACATAAAGAAAACTTAGTATAACTTCTAATTTGGCAATGCTTCCTACATAATTTGACACATCAAATGAGCCTACTTAGTTCAGTAAATCTTTTGGAATGGTCCAGGTCAAAAAAACTTAAGCAGACCAAAAGTCTACAAACAAAACAAAACCAAAAAAACTCTTTATCCTTTTAACGTAGAGAAAACCAAATTTTAATTTTGTACCAACTTACTTTTGATATTAAAACGTACTCATTTTAATCTTAGTCCTGACCACCCATAAATTCCTTTCCAAGGATTCCTTTTTCATAAACCTCTGGCAACTTTCTTTTTTACATTCAGATTTTGTCCTGAGGTTTCCATCTTAAAATAACCAGCCTCACTTCGGACAGAATTACTTTCTTCTCCCTCAGCTAAAATGTATTCCCATCCCTCTTATTTATTATTTTTTTAAAATTATTTTTATTGGGGCACCTGGGTGGCTCAGTGGGTTACGCCTCTGCCTTCGGCTCAGGTCATGATCTCAGGGTCCTGGGATCGAGCCCCACATCAAGCTCTCTGCTCAGCGGGGAGCCTGCTTCCCCTCTCTCTCTCTCTGCCTCTCTGCCTACTTGTGACCTCTCTGTCTAATAAATAAATAAAAATTAAAAAAAAAAAATAAAAAAAAATAAAATTATTTTTATTAACATATAATGTATTATTTGCCCTAGGGGTACAGGTGTGTGAATCATCAGGCTTACACATTTCATAGCACTCACCATAGCACATACCCACCCCAATGTCCATCACCCAGCCACCCTATCCCTCTTATTTATTTTAACCAAAAATACACATCTTACTTCTTTTGCATGGAGTATGTTTCTCTTGTTAGAATTTTTTAGCTCTTAGAAACCTTAATTTCTAGTGAAAGCTAATAAGTAAGCAATGATGAACTCTGTTACACCAGTACTTTTTTAAGTTGGTTAACTGACATTTTGGTCCACGCTTATTTTGGGGTCCTCAACCTGATGGTTACTGATCGAAGTTCCTCAGAATACGAAACAGGCTTAGTAAGATTTGCTGTTTTTGCTACATATCTACAACTTCCAGGGCTATAGTTCTTAGACATAAGATATGCTGAAAGGTGGCACACTTGACCCTAGGATCCAAAGATCCCATTAGCTAAGGCTTTGGGTTTCTTAGAACCGAACTAATAATTAAAAGGAACATGCCACTGGATTTGGGGATTGTGTTTGACAGTTTACCTCACTGCGCTGAAATTTTCTTGAGGTTGGCAGGTGACCTAGTCTCAGTTTAACCCATTCTGTGACCTACTTATCCTATCACTGGAGTCTTCTTGAGGTGCCTAGAGCTCTAGCAGCCTTTAAATGGTTGACCCATGCCCACAGTTTTTGTGGCTTTTTGGCCTCTGAGATCCCCTCTAGCAGTAGCCTTTATCTCCACCAAACAAGACAAACAAACATGTGCACCTTAAAGTATTGGTAGTTACCCAGAGATAGATGTTTCTTCATCTTGACCACAAGAAGGGCCTGTGCACATACCATCAATTCCCATGGAACCTTGCTAAGGTTTTTCCCCGGGGGGACCTATGGCCTGAAAGGTTAGGGCCTTGGCTCTGGGGAGACCTTTCTCCAGCTGAGTCACGCTATAAGCAAAACTGCCAGCTCTCCTGAGCTCTAGGCTGACCTGTCAGCTCTTGTTGGCAGAGTAGCCAACTCAACTGGGCTCCAGCTGGCTCCAGGCATAATGCAACTATGCCAGCTCAGTTGGCTCCAGGCATAATCATGTCAGCTCAAGCTGACCTGCCCAGTAAAAGAAAGCCAATTAGACAGGGATCTTAAACACACAAAGAGCAGAGCTCAGAATCAACAGGGACTTATCCATAGCTCTTGGAAATGTGAGAAAGTCAACTCAAAGTATTCTCGGATACCACACCTGTTTTTCTTGTTGTCCCCAGACGCTGCCACAAGTTCACTTTGGATCCCATCACTGCCACCAAATCTGTTGACTAACAAAAATTCAACTGAGGAAATTTTTGAAGGTATAACTGGCTTCATTTAATCGATTCATAAATCAGGCAGAGCCCCATTTAGCAAGTAGAGGGGAGCTCCAAAGGGCTACAGAAAAGGTAAAAGGCTTTTAAAGGGAGAGAGGGAGTTGAAAAAAGGAAATTATTAGCAAAGAATCCATTGTTTTAGGCAAGGTCACCCTCCTAAGTAAACTTCCTAGTGCTGA